CATGAATAGTTTCTTGATCATATTACATTATGGACGCAACTCCTATAACTCCGTATGGAGTGACTCATACATATTTTGTCTACACTTTTTAAATGCAATTGTGATGAAACTCATACAAACAATCTGCAGCCAAACTGCCTAGCATCACCGACATAACTGTGTTCTTGGCTGACTTCAGTATTTCAAACAATGAGTTCAAGGGTCATTGTTAGGGTCATACCGCCCCACTGAATGTGCGGTGAGCCGAGTGGGTTGAATGAGGTGAGGTGAAATGGGGTTCAAGATTATTGTATTAACAAAACGACGAGAGAGTGGCTGACTGTACTAAAAGAACTAGTTTATTTATGTGTCACTCGTTAAATGAGCTGTTTCGTCGCTATAAGGCTGAAATAATGCCCATGTGACTACATAAACTGTGCATATATAGAAAATGGAAAATCATTTAATTTACAACTAACGCCCAGATATAATGATTATGAGACAGAATAAAACCATAAATACATATACAGTAAACTACGTTTATGACGAACACGCTTATAACGAACTGACGGATATAACGAACTTACTTTTTTGTCCCTACTATTTGCTGTTGTTATGCTGTATATATGCTTATAACGAACTACGGTTATAACGAACTAAAATTAGAGGTCCCATTGAGTTCGTTATAACCGTAGTTTACTGTATACATAAAACATAAGAAGGATACTGTTCGTATTCTGTACGAAACAGTATTATGCACGGTAATATACTATAAATAGTTAATACAATCTTCATGAATTACATTGTAAATTGTTTACGTTTATAAATTTGGCCTATTGTTATTTACATTATTTCGATCAACCCCACAGTTATCTCTTTTTTTAGTTTGGGGCGATGTTAAAATGTCATTTAGGTAATTATTACAGGCATTTTTTACAACACTATTTCTCTACGAATGCTTATACTTAATAGCTTCTTGCTCACACCCTAACTGGGTATCAGTTTCATCACTTGGCTTTATATAGAGTCTAAAATAGTGTATATGTTGTTAACTACTGGTGATATATAGAAAATCTCACCCGAGTGCTTTTTGTAATCCAATATATAAACGAGTGTTGATATATTTGATATCAAAAGACACGAGGGTGAGATTTTATTTATCATCCAACATCATTCGTCCAAGTTTTTCAGTTTGTAGACAGTATTAAGCAGTGTCTAAGGTGTAAAAAGTACTGCTAACAGCTTCAGTAGCAGAGCCATTAGTGATGTCATTTGAATGGGACGTCATGGTAACAATGACGTCACAATGGTCTGCACAGTACTGTGATGCAATTTCATTGCAGCGATACCTACTATGTTGATATCGCTTGAGCTCATCCCAGCGATATCTCCTTTGGGAGCCAGTTTTGGATGATAAAAATCTCATATCTCCGTTCGAAACTACATTGGAAGAGCGCTTAGTGATGCCAAGGAAATACGTACTTTATTGGTATTTATACCCCAAATCCCTGATCCATAATACATAACTGGTTCAACAAGGGTTTCATATAGTTTCTTAAACACAAGTTATGGCATACCTCCATCTACGTTAAATTTTGCAATTGAAGATGATAGAGCGCGAATCGAAGATTTATACTATTCTCTAACAGTCTTCTTCATGTCTAGGTTCTCATTTGTAACCATATGCATAGACCAAAGTATCTATGAAGTTCAATATAATCAATTGTAAAACCATTATATTTAAAATCAAACTGCGATCTGTGCTGTACTACTCCGGACGTATGCCGGTTTTATAGTGTTAGCCAACTGAGATACCATGCCACATACTGACTTCGGGCCGACCAGACCTTCTTTTCTCACATTCATACCGAGCGCCAGGCAAGGTCAATGTAGGCACAGTCATTTGACTTTAGTTTGGTATGACCCTGCCAGGGTATCGAACCACGGACCCTTCCGCTATCCTGACAGGGGCTCTATCCACTACACTACAGAGGCGACTTGGAAAGAGTAGGTGTAACTGTTTTGAACAGCATAAGGAATGCGGCACGTCAGCTTGATGACATGGGAGGGAATTATCATAGACGTATATAGCGTTTATAGTGCCGGTGTGATGCTGTCAAATGCACGGTGTTAATGTGGGTGAACTAGATTCGAACTCAAACAACGTATCCTGGCGAGATAAAGGGACGCAGCTTAAACCACTGTCACATTATAGCATTATAACAAACATACAAACAATAACAAAAGCATTAATCAAACAGACAAGAATGACACACTGTCGAAACGCAATGTTCACCAAGGAAATGGTGCATATACCCTCTAAAACTAACCTGGATTATCAGATCTGTTGAAATGCTATATACAAGGCCGAACATACAAAGCTTTCGCTTTCGAAATGTCACGCTTGCATCCAAAGTACCAAATTGTCCGACTCCCCATTGTTCTCTGTGCCTTAGGTTTAGTACCTGCAAATCTGTTGACTGACATTGGAAGAGTACCCGTTTAGAAATAAAAATGTGCACAAATCTAAATATCTATATTTGCAATTGCAGAATAGCAAAATATAAAAAAATAGATGTGAGAAGAAATTGTAAAAAAAGGTCCATAGTTGATTATGTTATCTCTTGCGCTATGTGTCTGCCCCTCTCGAGGGACTTTGAAAGACTGGATATCTCACCTCTATATTCAGATGTCTGTTGTCCTCCTTCTGTCACATTGTCATCTCAAGACACATCACCAACGACCATGAACAATCACGAATCACAGTAAATCCAGAGTACGTCACGACATCCACAGCTAAGCCAAATCGGTGTGGTAGTCAGTGGAAAGTTGACCATTGGAAAGTCGAAGTCATCCCTCTTGTCATACAGTCTTGTGGAGAGTGGTTTGTCATAAAGATTCAGAGTGACATTCAGAGTGATATATATATATATATATATATATATATATATATATACGCACACACACACACACATTTATATGAGTCAGAGTGACATTCAGAGTGATACACACACACACACACACACACACACACACACACACACACACACACATATATATATATATATATATATATATATATATATATATATATATATCAAATCCAAAAGAATCATTACATTCTGTCATTAAACTGCAATATACATGTATGTACTGAGTGTGTTGTCGAGGTTGCCGTAGTATAACTTGTACCTGGAGTTTACAAGTGTGATGCTTCCATACGCCACAGGGTCTCATGAGCACTGGATTAGGGTATCACTGTTATAACACCTTGACCCACAGTGTCAGCACAACGGACTCCAGAACACATTTACTAAAACGTTTATGAATGAAATTGAAACGTATTATCATTTTTCAGTACCTGACAAACTGGTGACTTGCCCGTCTTTGCTAAACGTAACAAGTGACGCACTTCCTCTGAAGATACAGGTGTATTAATGTCTCCACCACAGTCTCTATTTACACAACAGTTGACCAAGTCCATAAGATGCATTTGCCCATGCCACTGATACAGTATGTGTGTATGTGACAGTCATCCTTCAGTTTCAACTCCATGAAAAAAAATCTTCATATCATAGGTTCGCTGTAAAAGGCGACTATGCTTGTCGACTAACGGGATCGGGTTGTCAGGCTCACTGACTCAGTTGATGCATGTCATCGTATCCCAATTGCGTGGATCGATGCTCATGACGTCAATCACTGGATTGTCTAGTACAGACTCGTTTATTTACAGACCGCCGTTATATAGCTGGAATATTGCTGAGTGCGGCGTAAAACAACAAATAAACAAACAAATCCTACACCAACCTTGCCGATCTTCCACCACAGATATCACTGTGTCGAACTTACATACCTATGTGGTGAGTTTAATAGCAGGAATGGGATTCTACTTGACTACATTGTAGGGGTGGGGGCACGGGTGGCCAAGTCGTCTAAGGCGCTGCAATTCGCTGTGCAGAGTTGCGTCCCTTGGGCACGCCAGAAACCTATCATTGTGGGTTCGAATCCCGGGTCGCGCCGATTGTGTTTCTAGGTTAGTCAGCACCATACCCGTGCTCGTGGGTTTCACCGAAGTGGTAAACGTCTAAGACCTGCATCACTTCGGGCTTTCCTCCCACATTAAACTGACACGCCGTGATATCACTCGAAAACTGTTAAAAGCGGCGTTAACCCCAACTCACTCACTCACTCATTGTAGGGGTAGATAACCTACTGTTCGGAGAGGTGTTCTTTAATACGAATAACTCACACAGGCGTCCGTTTACAGATCGTCTAATAAATGGTCACCACTGCACTGTAAACGGGAGAGTAAACGCCGGTTCTGACTTCTTAACGCCCTCATTCTCATTACAATCTGGCTATCGCTAAACAAAGATCTGATGACATCCCCTTAAGGGCCACGTCAGAACGACCTTTCATCCAACCAATCAGAGCGTCGCTTACCAGATCATGAAAGTGACAGTCAGAATGTGTGTTCTAATCATGCAACCACGAAATATTTATTCCGAACGACAGTTATGGGTTTTCTGATTATATCCATACAATTTAGGCCATCTATTAGCCATTCCAAAATGTTCTTATCAGTTTTAATTTATTTTAATCGAGAATATGTCAAAATATGTTTCGAAGCGTAGTCGCCAGTTTGAAACTTGTGTCGTAAAGCTCGAGAAAACTGCCTACTGATTTGATAATGTCGATTTCGTGTCAGTCATTTCATTGTTCGGTCAAAATTCGCGAAAGGTCGTTCTGACATGACCCGTAATGGAATGTCCTCAGATCTTTGTTTAGCGGTAGTGAAAACTAAGATCTGATTTGAATGAGATTGTAACGCCCTACACCTCAGTGTCTTGAAACTGGTTCTCCCTTGTGATCTTTTTCAGTATCAATGTTTACGATCAACCCACTGCCCACAATAGCTTGAAACACATGCTTCGTAAATGCATTGACACACCACGTGCTTCACGCATGACACAGCGTTCACCAGAGCGTGGCCACCTGGCCAACCTGAGATACATAGCCAATCGCCTGCGGTTTAAGCGCTTGCAATAATCAACAGTTAAAATGCACTTGGTTTTCATTTCGTAAAGTTTTGCGCACTAGCGAAGACCTGGTGACAACAGGCGTATCAACAACATGGCGGTCGTAAACGTAACTTGGGAGCAGTATACGAGTCTTCAAAAGGGTTTGGATGACCTTAAAATTAATCTGGATCAGTTCTTCCTCATTGTGATGGGCATGGTAGTGTACTGTAAGTACAAATTTGTTCTTGTTGTATCTATGTTGTATGCATTACGTAAATTCAAACGGCGGGGAATAAGCAGTCTCGAAAATATGTCGTTGGAGTTTCCATCGAGTGAAAAAAGCAAAATAGTTGTTAACATTTTATGATAGGATCACTGAAAAGCATTGATCTTTTGGGATGGCCTTGTGTTTGAAGCATTCACTTGTCACGCCGAAGACCCAGGGTAGATTCCTCACACGGGTACAGTGCGTGGAGGCCACTTTTTGGTGTCCCCCGCCGTGCTATTATTGCGATATGTTGCTAAAAGTGGAGTAAATCGATACCACTCACTCCAACACCCTAAATGCATCCCAGCCAAGTTCGACCGCCTCCGTGGTCTAGAGGTTGAGCGTCCGCCCGGAGAGCGGAAGGTGCAGGGTTCGATCCCCGATACTTGTTGTTACCCTGCCTGGCGCTCGGCATTAAGGTACTAAAACAAGGATTGGTCGGCTGGATTCAGTATACTGGGGTATTCATGTTAAACTGCGGCATGGTATCTCACTGGGCAAGAACTATAAATCAGCATCAGTCCGGACTAGTACTAGCAGCCACACACACTTTTTTTTTCTATGCAACTCTCCCTTCACTACAGCCTCTGGCTATTGTTGTGACATGTGCCACAGTATTTCGTGAGTTGGTGGCCCAGTCGTCTAAGGCGCCGCAATTAGCTGTGCAGAGTTGCGTCCCTTGGGCACGCCAGAAACCTATGATTGTGGGTTCGAATCCCGGGTCGCGCCGATTGTTTTTCTAGGCTAGTCAGCACCATACCCGTGCTCGTGGGTCTAGACTCGATTATTGACAGACCTCCGACAGGCGCCATTGCTGTGAGCCGCACCTGTCAGTACATTTCTTTCTTCAATGCTTCTGTCAATCGTTTTCAGACACGAGGCTTTATAGTACACTAAAAGGGATGCCTGCCACACATTTAGGTGTACATAATGACCCCTACTTGTGTAGACTGTCAGTTATTTTTCACAGTAAGACACTGTAAACCGTGGGAAGGGACTGCAGTGAACGTCGGGTTAGTAAAAGGGTACCCGTCAGGTTGCATTTTATGTTTTTTTTATTCTAGATGCATTTGCACTACATCATATCCATACATACTGTTGTTGAGATATACCTACATAATATCGACAGATGTTAATTTGCCGTAGTTCTTCATATAATGTATGACCCGAGAAGATCCCGGGTAGAATAGGTCTTCAGCAACCCATGCTTGTCTTAAAAGGCGTCTATGCTTTTCGACTAAAGGGAGGCGACTAACGGGATCGGGTGGTCAGGGTCACTGACTCAGTTGATGCATGTCATTGTATCCTAATTGCGTGGATCGATGCTCATGACGTCAATCACTGGATTGTCTAGTCCTGACTCGATTATTTACAGACCGCCGTCATATAGCTTGAATATGTGGCGTAAAACAACAAACAAACAAATCCTGCCATAGCCAACACCAACCTTGCCGATCTTCCACCACAGATATCACTGTGTCGAACTTACATACCTATGTGATGAGTTTAATAATAGGTATGGGATTCTACTTGACTACATTGCAGGGGTGGGGGCACGGGTGGCCCAGTCGTCTAAGGCGCTGCAATTAGCTGTGCAGAGTTGCGTCTCTTGGGCACGCTAGAAACCTATGATTGTGGGTTCGAATTCCGGTTCGCCCCGATTATGTTTCTAGGTTAGTCAGCACCATACCCGTGCTCGTGGCTTTCACCGAAGTGGTTAACGTCTGAGACCTGCATCGTTTCGGGCTTTCCTCCCACATTAAGCTGACACGCCGTGATATAATTGGAATACTAAGGCAGGGCGGGACAACTTAGGAATGGCCAGGAGTCCGAACTTGACCACACAGAAGGAAGCGAGCTACAAAAACATGTTTTATATCATTGGAAAGCTCTCGAGAAGACGAATCCAAATAATGTGTGTCCCAGTGTGTTCACATGTTCATAAGCTCAAAAATTGGCTCAGAAAATGCATTACTGCAGAAATTTCTGGCAGTATTTTTTTTTGCTACAGAAATTTCTGACAGAATTTTTTTTTTTTCTGCCGTAATATTTAGCAGAATTATTTTAATTCAGGAGAAATAAGATTCAATCATTGGATAGTTTAACCTGGAGTTGCTTCAAATGACCTTTTTCCTCAAAACAAACATTTTTAGTTCACATTATTACAAGCAATAAAATAAAACTAATTTCGTGAGATATTTCAAAAAAAATATTTATTCACGTGCTATATTACAAGACAATTCCTTGGGAGACTTTGCACTTTTCATTCTCATGATTGAGTCGTATTTTCATGGGTGAGGTGAATTTTTCAGAGATGGGTCCTGTCACAAAAGAAAATAGATGTATAGATGAGTGGATCCATATTGTCTAATATAATGGATAATGGCAGCCTATACGCAGCTAGAGTTTAACTTTACAATAGAGCCTGCGGAATAAAATGTATTATTAATGTAAATAGTGTGTTTTACTTACGTTTTCTTCTCAACATACTTGAAATGAATTCTTTTTTTCGTCTGGTCATTGAAAGCTATGTTCATATTCTGAAAAGATATGAAAAAAACATTAAAATGCTTTTCATTTCAGTAATTAACAGATTCCACAAGCTTTAGACACATGAACAAAGTAAGATAAGAGAGGTGAGTTGAAATTGGGTTGAATGTCTAGTCCAAGATAATTGCACTTATATAGCATGTGCGTGCGTGCGTGTGAGTGTGTGTGTGCGTGCGTGCTTGTACTAGTCGTCTGCATCTTCCGTTTTGTACAGGTCACTCCATAAGTTGTCAGTGACTGCATACTTGTGTAGGGGGCACTCAATGTTCACACTGTCATGAAGCTTAAATTATATAAGGATGAGTATACTGCGAAAATTACATTGGATTAATTCGTTAAAAGAGACTTATGTATCATGTTTGGGAGAGGCATTCAGATAAGCAAAATTTGCTTGTTTGCCAATCCCTCCACTTTTGGAAATAAAGATGTTTATATCAAGAGACTTGTAAACCATAACCGAACTCAAAACTAACCCCATGTGTCGTAAATGGGTGATCTAAGGTAAAAGGATGGTAAACACGTGTTTCATTGGCAAGGGATACTCAACCCTTATGATCGGAAAGGGGGTCCAAGGACAAAGGAGAGACCAGACCTACTACCCAGAGGGGCCAGCCTGGTATAAGACTTAGTGTAAAGCTAGCCTAGTCTATGTCATCAGCAGCTGGTCACTGCGGCGGAATGTGGTTTTGGCGTTGCTGTTCAAGTTCGAATTTCCGATAGGCATGTCTCCACTAAAAAAAATAGATAAATTTTCGGACAGCATAATCTGGTGTCAGATCTTAAAAAAGTTCCGAACGACTGTGAAACCATGGTAAGAAGTATTATTATTATTGAAGCAACCTTCCCAAATGTGTGTGCTGCATAAGCTGGAGTGGTTCCCCTTGAATTTTTCAGAATATGAATCGACAGACGAAACGAAAATTAGTTCGCTTGACATATCCAGTTGGGGGTTATTCTTTTTTAGTTTGGTGGAAAAATGATATGAAACACTGGGGTCTGACTGACTGATATAGGAGATTTAACGTGCGCTTTCCGACTGTAGGGTATTTCGCACACGGGCCTGGCCGGACCATTTATTGTATTTCCGAAAAGGGTGAAAGTGATGTGTGCAACCCAAGAGGGGGCTTTTAGGGGTTGCTTATATTAAAGTTTTGGAATTTTTAAATTTGGAATAAATGCCGAGGTGGGTGGAGGAGGGAACTAAGGGAGCCGGGTGAGGTGGGTGTTTGTATGTTTATTGGATTTTGGATTGGTAGATTAATTAGTTTTTAGATGCGCTTAATTAGGTCTGTTTTGATTAGGAATACGCATAGGGCCTTGAAGTTTTCTAGTTTATTTTGAGGGTTTAGTATTTCATCTAGAGTTGGAACCTTATTTAGATTGAGGGTGGTTTGTAGTGTGGTTCTGTGTGTTTGGTAGTGGGTGCAGTGGATGAGTGCGTGTTCTGTGGTTTCGGGTTGTTTGCAGTGGGGGCAGTTGCCTGTGGTGTGTCTTTTAAGTTTCTTTAGGTGGTTATTTAGGTTCGTGTGTCCTGTTTGGAGTTTTGTAATAAATCTGTCAATTTTGTTTAAAGGGGTGTAGGATTTTAGGTTTGGCTAGTGGTTTTCTGAGCACTTTTTTGATTTGGCTATTTGAGTTTTGCTATTGATTATGCCATTTTTTGGTTATTTTTTGCTTATTTACGCTTTTAATTTCTGATTTTGAGATGGGTAAGTTTAAGCTTATTTCTGGGATTTTGAGGGATAGTTTAGCTGCCTTATCGGCGTTTTCATTACCGTATATTCCTACGTGGGCGGGTATCCACAAGAAGGTTATTTGTTTGCCTGCGTTAGTTAGGTCGTTGGAGCTTTTAAGTATTTTATTTATTAATTTAGGTGGGTTTTGGGTATTTTTGTTTTGGAGGGCTTGCAGTCTACTTAGGGAGTCGGTAAGTATTAGGATTTTATTGTGGTTTTTGGATTCTTGACTATGGAGGGCTGAGGCCATGCCCATTAGTTCTGCCGTGAATATTGATTGGTTGTTTGGGAGTCGGAAGGATTGTGTGGTTTAAGTTGGTTGTGTGGTATTGACTCCGAAACCTGTGTGTTTGGAGGTCGGATCTGAAGATCCGTCCGTGTAAATGTGACACCAATTTGGCCAATTTTCGTGTATGTATGCTAGTGTGGTGGTTTTAGCTATGTTTGGGTTTGTTTGTTTATTTATTTGGCTAGCTAGTGTTGTGTCTATTTTGGGTATTTTAAGTTTAGGGGTGAAGATATCTGATTGTTTGCAGTTTTGTTTAAGATTTTTAATTTGGTGTTCATTTAGGTAGTTTGTTATTCTTTGGGATATTGGGGTAAGTAAGGGGTGTTTACGAGCTAGAGCTTGGTTTTTGGGGCTGATATTTTGGTTTATTAAGTTTTGGATTAGAGGGTTTGATTGGGATGCGGCCCAGAAATTTAATAAGCTTAGCTGTTCCCTGCGTAGATTTAGTGGCATTTCTCCTGTTAAGGCCTGAAGTGAGGTGTAGGAGGTGCCATGTTGGGTGCGTGTAATTAGTTTGAGAGCCTGATATTGTATTGAGTCAAGTTTTTTAGATAGGGAGTTATTTAGGGTGTTGTATATGGCGCAGCCGTAGTCTAGTTTTGATCTAATTAGTGATATGTAGAGTGAGAGGAGGGTATCTTTGGAGGCTCCCCAGTTTGAGCCAGTTAGGCATCTTAGGGTGTTTAGGTCTTTACTGCATTTAGTTGTTAGGTTTTGGATGTGAGCATCCCAGGTGAGATGTTCATCGAAAATAAGTCCTAAAAATTTCGTTTGTTTTTGAAATTTGATTGTTTGGTTGTTTAGCTGGAGGATTGGGGAGGCGGGTTTCATGTTTTTATGTTTGAATACTATTCCTGTTGTTTTTTCTGAGTTAAGGGAGAAGCCCCATTTGTCAGCCCATTGTTGTATTTTATTAAGAGATTTTTGGAGTAAATTTTGGGCCATTTTAATGCTTTTAGTGCGGATCCAGAGGGCTCCATCATCCGCGAATTTGGATGTGTTTATTTTAGGGGATAGGCCCTCGAAGAGATCGTTTATCATTATATTAAAGAGTGTGGGGCTGAGGATACTGCCCTGGGGAGTGCCATTTTCTAGGGGACACTGGTCCGATAGAGTATGGTCTATCCCCACTGTTATTTTACGTTCGTTTAGAAAGTCCTGAATGTAGTTTATTATTTGTCCTTTTAGTCCTATTTTTTAAAGTTTTTGTATAAGCCCGTTGTGACAAACAATGGAGTAGCACGCTTACGGTTTTCAATATATACGATAACATACTACTTAGATGCGAACTGTTTAATTGACAGCTGTTAATTGGTAACGGTCAAGCCTCAGTGAATTTGCATTGGGTGTGTGTGTGTAAGGTGAGTCTGAAATAAAGGTGGATTCAGTCGGAATAAAGATAAGATAATGATCTCATAAATTTTATTGAAGGCTTTGAAAGTTTAGGATCGGCGAGACCGTAACACAGAGTAATTAACAAAACGATCACGTGATCGTTGCGCTGATAGACAATACCCACCGACCACGTGCGCGAGACAATGTACCATCGCATGAAGTGACAATACCCGAGGATATTTAATTGCCAAGTTGGCAGGAAGTCTGGCGGCACGGCACGTACGATATGCGTCGTTTGGGTATTCTAAATTGTCTCAGCACCAGCTTTGATGGGGCAATAAGAGAAGATGATATATATGTATATTTTAGGAAAACATTAATACAATAATTTGTTATATTAATAAACATTGGGTCTATAAAGTTAGTTTTATCTAAATATTTCTAACGTTTTAAATAACAGAAAACTCGCATGTAAATTATCAAAATACTGCATGGATTGGTATTTTGTAATTTTCCGAGTTTTCACTTTCACTGATCACCACAGGCAAATTCATGGTCACATAGCTAAACTACAAGTGTCGCCATACAGCTACAATAAGTTGCCTAATGTACATGTAGACAGTATACAAGTCGCAATAACACCACAGGGGATGGAGATATCTCCTTTTCAGATTAGATTGTTTGCGTATTTTGTTTATCAACAGTGGTAGAAATAACTACACTAAAATTAGACTCTTACAAAACGCGTTTCGCATGGCAGCAGAGCCACACATTAACTGTTTGGAGTACAGGTTGTTATTTGGTTGTTGTTATATGAAATAACCGTGTTACCAAAATTCCACGTTCTAGGGTCGGCGTTTCCAGAAATAAAACAATAAATATTTTGACGTCTTACCTGTATCGTAACTGCAAGATGGTAACCAGACGCTGTAACTCTGCTGACTGCACGTGGTTCGGGATCTTTGCTGTGGCTGAAATAAAGAGTGCTATTTTTTACAGAAAGAGACCACATTGCTTGTGTCATTGTGCAAAGACATTGTGCGAAGGTACGATTGTTTTGTTGTTGCATTAGGTGTTTAAGAGGTCGCCTTCTGCCTAGGCAATTTCGGCTGACCTGTCCCTCTTTGGGACTCCTGTGTGTGAGAAGGGTTCACATATCTATTGTGAGTTCGGTGTTCACATAATTTCTGTTTTTGCATTGATATAATTTCTATTTTCTTATATTGATATGATTTCATTTTTATCCTTGGCTGCTCTGTTTATATACGTTCGAGCAGCTGTCCATCTCTCAGAAATAGAGTTAGTTTGGCCTTCGCTATTGCATCTCTTGGCTTTAGGAGATCTATGACAGATAGCGGATCTAACTGCAATAAACAAATCTTGTTTTAACCTAGCCCGGGCTGGGGCATGGACATTCTAGTAACAGGTGGTCAATATAATAATAATACAGTTAAAAGCAGCGTTAAACCCAACTCACTCACCCACTCCTTTCTACAGTTAACCACGTGAGGTATTCGGTTACGAATAGGTCAACTGCAACATGTACTTGGTCAGACTCGGTCATTGATTGGTGGGTGTGGATCGTTGCTCATAATATCAATCACTTGATTGTTCCAGATTTGATTTACAGACTGCTTTTATTTTATTGGAATATTGCTGAGTGCGGCGTAAAATATCAAACAAACAATATCTTAACACAAGAAAAGCCTAAATAACTGGCTACGTACTACATATGTGTTAAGTTTTGTTGTGTTGTTTTTCATTTCAGTGATGCAATGTGGTTTTGCGTTTCTGGAAGCTGGCGCCGTACGGAGCAAGAACTCCACCAACATTTTGATCAAGAATCTTATGGACTCCTGTGAGTTTGCATGAATTAGTTAAAAAGCACCACTACTCGCTGTGGAGATTTGTGTCTTCAGGCGTGCCGGAAACCTGAGAAAACGGGTTCGAATCCCAGAACAAAATTAATGTAGAAGATCTATTCTCCCCCGGATCTTACCCAACACAGTTGTTTAATTTATTCACGCATTATTCACGACTGTAATGATTCCGGATGAGAATAGATCCCTGGTGGACGTCACAATAGATATGTTTTACCTTGAACTTTAACCATCCAGCAGAGTTTGGCGTGGTTTCGAGGGTTCGAGGACGATGTTAGAGTGTCCTGTATGGCGGTGGGGTTGTGGAACAGCTCGATTCCCAAATCGGTACAATGCATATGTGTGAAGCCTATGTATGGTGTCTCCATCTTAATAGGGATGAGTGGTCCAGTCGTCTAAGGCGCCGTAATTTGACGCCGGGAGTTGCGTCCCTTGGGCACACCTACATGTCTGATTGTGGGTTCTAATCCCTGTTCACCCCCATTATGTTTCTAGGTTTGACAGCGCCTTACCCGTGCTCGTGGATTTCATCAAAGTGGTAAAAGCCAACCATTAGGCCTGCATTGCCTTGGGCTTTCCTCCCACATTAAGCTGACGCGTTTTGATATAACTGGAATAATGTTAAAAGTGGAGTAAAACCCAACTCACTCACTCACCCATCGTCATATGGCTGGAAGCTTTGATAAAAAGGATGTACATTTCACTCATTCACTGCGATGTTTCAGCACAAAATGTAATTGAGAATCAGGTTTTGACGATATCACCCAAAACTTGCTTCCAAAGGAGATGTCGTTTGGGTGAGATCGGGTGAGATCGGGTGAGATCGGGTGAGATCCTAAAAATGAAATGATCGATCATTGTGTTGTCGATGGCTACCAAAACGTAACGCTCAAATAGCGTCATTTATCTCCAAGCTGTTGAAGCTGGTCGATGTGCTTTTACACTCGAGACACATGTTTGCATGAACCCGTGAAGATCCGGGTGAGATTTGGTCTTCATCAACCCATGCTTGTCGTGAGAGTCACAAGGTACCCGATAACTCACAAGCAAATCTACAATACTTTAGCAAGTCAAGCTGTCTTCTGAATATGAAGCTATCCTGTAGGCTCCTTTGTAGTACTCTTTAAATGTTATGTTCCTGAGACAAAGTCGTATAAATTAGTATACGGGATGACCTGCATATGTTATTTCATCACCTTGCTCCTTCTGGGGCGGTCGGGTAGCCTAGGGGTTAAAGCGTTCGCTCGTCACGCCGAACACCCGGATTCGATTCCCATTTCGTGTGTCCCCTGCCGTGATATTGCTGGAATATTGCTAAAAGCGGCGTAAAACTATTTCACTTGTTCCTTCTAGTTGTGGCCGGCATTGCCTACTGGACAATAGGGTATCCCCTGGCGTATGGTGCGGGCAACAGTTTTATCGGCTACTCCTACTGGGCGTCTAAAGCTCTGCCGGACACGGAGTTCGCGAGCTTCTTCTTCCAGTACGTCTTCGCCGCCACCGCTGCCACCATTGTGTCCGGCGCCATGGCCGAGAGGTGCGAGTTCCTGGCCTACTTCATCTACAGCTTCTTCATAACGGGTGCGTGCAATAAAGGATTTAATATCAATTGTTCAAGTCCATATTGAAAACTTACCTCATTACCTCCCACAGCTGCTGTTCGAGAAATTGTCCACGTTTCTCGTTTTATGTGTGTAAATACGTACAAGTAGATATGAATGTGCTTACTTCCATTGTTAGCACTTTGAGCATTTCAGGCACGTTATTATTATTGTTATTGTTGTTGTTGTTGTTGTTGTTGTTTCGATGTATAAGTAGAAGCAAAGTTTTGGTTGTGTGATGCCGTCATTTTCATTCAGACTTGCGACGGTCATTAATAAGTCAAAAATAATCTTTCATCCATATTACCAAAAGACGCTTCCAACTCATAATCTGCATCATTTGTAGTTTTACTAATCACACAGAGGAATGGTGCAGTTAAAGAGAACAGTTATATAACAGTTTATAGACTGTAATTTGTGACCTGACTACAACGAACAATGTCTTCAAATTAAGGTTACTAACAATTGATTGATCGTTGTCAACAGTATGCATGTTCCCCTTCCCCTTAGGCTTTGTCTACCCTGTGGTGACACACTGGGTGTGGTCACCTGCCGGCTGGCTGGCCGTCGGCGCCACGTACGACAATGGCACCATCACCGCCGTCTATCAAGTTAGTAAACTCATAACATCAGGGTGATCATTTGATTAATTAAATAAATAACATACAAAAAGCATTTGTCTTGAAGCAAATGGGGCGGTCGGGTAGCCTAGTTGTTAAAGCGTTCGCTCGTCAAGCTGAATACCCGGGCTCGATTCCCGACATGCATGGGTACAATGTGTGAAGCCCTTTTCTGGTGTCCCCCGCCCTGATATTGCTGGAATATTGCTAAAAGCCGCGTAAAACCTAACTCACTCACTTACACACTGAAGCAAATGGTTTATTGTTGATGTCATGTGACCGTGTTATCAGTACAATGGTTCAAAAAGGGTAAGCAGAGATCGATGCTCATGATGTCAATCACTGGATTGTCTGGTCCAGACTCGATTTTTTTTACAGACCGCCATCATATAGCTGGGATATTGCTGAGTGCGGCGGTATACAACAAACAAACAAGCACCATTAAGGGTAAACGCGTTGGAGACAACAGAAAATAGATCTCTTTGTCGCCTCTTGGGTGGTGGATTAGGCTAGTGGGTAAAGTGTTCGCTCGTCACGCCGAAGATCCGGGTTCGATTGGCTTCATGTGTACAATGTGTAAAGCCAATTTCTGATATTCCCCGCCGTGATATTGCTGGAATATTGCTGTAAGCGGCGTAAAACAATACTCGCTCACTTTGTCGTCTCTTAAGATACGAAAGCAATAGGATGCTGGGGGACCTATTCTCTCTCGGAGTCTCTCGAGACACCATTGTGAAACAAACAGTGTAGACCCGTGAAGATCCGGGGTAGAATAGGTCATCAGCAACCCGTACTTGCCGTAAAAGGCGACTGTGCTTGTCGTAAGAGGCGACTAACGGATCGGGTGGTCAGCCTCGCTGACTTGGTTGATGCATGTCATCATATCCCAAATGCGTGGATCGATGCCAATGATGTCAATCACTGGATTGTCTGGTCCATACTCGATTATTTACAGACCGCCGTCATATAGCTGGAATATTGCTGAGTGCGGCGTTAAATAACATACAAACAACAAACAAACAAAACAAACCGTGACAGTAATGCTGATTTGTCTCCAGGACTTCGCCGGCAGTGGTGTCGTGCACATCCTGGGAGGAACTGCTGCCTTCTGCGGGGCTCTCCTGCTTGGGCCAAGACTTGGCCGATTTCATCGTGACAAGCGCGGACCAATCGACCTCCGAGGACATTCAGTTCCTGTAAGTAATAGTTCCAGAACGAGTACTTGACGCATGTACCATTGATCATCTCAATATAGACCACTGAGTCCCCCGTCAGATACGTTGTTTATTACAACTCGACCACTTCGAGCGAAAACGATTTAGATACGTTTTGAAATACACAAATTGTTATAAAAAAACTGCATCTCACGTGAACGAGTGAAGTAATTGATTTTATTACTCTCTTAAAGTTTGCATATTATCTTAATTAAACGTTAAAAAAAGATGCTGTTGTCATAAGAGTTGCATACGGATACAACATTCGAAGCTCATGATTCGATTATAGATTAACTCTCAAGGTGCGACCTGAACTGTTAACCTCCAGTGACGTCATCCTATTGTCCTCCAGTCGCGTTAAATCGTAAAAACAGGGATTTCATATAATATCCCAGGGATTTTATAAACATAACTACCGTTTATATTGTAACATATGATTGTTTCTCGCTAGATATTTATTTTGCATTTGAACACAATGTAATGAAATGTAAAATCAAATGACAAATGTTTTCTTCATATTCCCGAGGACTGAACAGGCAACCTTCGTATCGGTAGCCCAGTTTGTATATCACAACGCTAAAGAGGCGCTGACAAATCACAATGCTTTTTAAATGTCTTATTCGTACGCCAGCAACAGATATTTTACGCCCGTTTCCAATGGTTCATGGAGAGAATGGTTGAACGCTACAACGCATTCAGAACTATGCAGCTAGATGCATCTCTAAAGTTCCAAGATCCAATCATATCAGTCCTGTCCTCAAAGCACTACATTGGCTTCCAGTCTCCTTTCGTATAAACTATAAGATATGTATCATCACTCACGACTGCCTCAACAATAGCGACTATCCAGACTATCTCAAAGATCTTATATCCCTGTACTCTCCAGAGCGTGCTCTCCGATCCTCTGGTGGAACTCTACTGTATCAGCCTCTGTCTACTTCTGCTATGTCTGACCGTGCCTTCTCCTTTTGCAGTCCACAGTTATGGAACTCTTTGCCTTTGAATCTGAGAAACTCTGCTTCTAAGGAAACGTTTAAGTCTCTCCTCAAAACCCACTTCTTCACTTCAGCTTTTCAATAGATCTCCTGATTGTTGGCATATGTACATAGACATTACATTTTAACTTTGTCACAGCGCCAGTGAGCAACTGTCGATGGATATTAGGCGCTTTACAAATCAATTATTATTATTATTGAATCATAAAAATACATTGATAAATGTTGTTTTATGATATTTTTTTCGGTTTATAAGTTACATAAAACACCAACCCTCGGGTTTTTCTGAGATTTAAAACCCTCATCCTCGGGATAAAATCTCGGGGCTGACGGACTCATTTTTATTCCTTAGATTTGGGTTTTATATCTCATAAAAAAAACCTTTGACGTGTTTTATCCTCCATATAAAGTGCGCAGCTGTATCAGAGGTCGATGACACGAAACAATTAGACGACAATTTTAAATCGAAGTTCAAGGTCGTATGTAAACGCGACGATGACTGTCGTGATGATCTTTCGAGATCGTGTTTTGTTTATTAGTGATGCTCTGAACCTTTATGTAGTCTTTGAATGACATTTAGAAGTGATACACATAAAGAAGAGAATTTATGGATATCGACTTCTTTATTATGAGGAACACAAAATTTCGGAGTACATACTTACTCCTTCATCAGGTGAATTAATGCTATGAAGCACAGAACATATATATGTAGCTGTAAGAACAACAAACGTAATAAGTTAACAAACATGGAAACTAAGCAAGGAAAGCCAACAGTTAATTGGCGCTCATTTAATAGCGGATTTCCGGTCTGGTGTTGAGTGATCTGAGGGTTTCTCCAATGTATTGGTGGCCACACTTGCAGGGGATCTGGTATATACATCTTATGGGACTTGCGCTGCTGGTGCCTCTGCCATTGGCCCGCAGACTGTTAACTGTTCCATTTTACCATAATGATTGCTAATCACCTATCACCCTTGTGAAGTTTCCACCTTAATCATGTTATTACTTTGTTGTTCTTACAGGAAAATATATATGTTCTCTGCTTCATAGAGAAAGTATTTACTCCCAAACGTTGTGTTCCTCATAATAAAGAAGTTGACGACCATAAATTCTTTTCCTTATATACCTCTACGTGTCTTGTGATTGAGTCCACAGTATCATCTGATTGTCCATTTTGAGGGGGAGCAGCTATTTTGTGTGTCTTGTATAAATCTATTTTTAATGAAATTAGCAATGGGAATATAAAAATTACACATTTTGACAAAATTAGAGGCGGGGTAAAATATTACTAATTTAAAAAAAAAAATCATAAAAGCTATGTGGATTTTGAACACTGCCGTCTCCTCATAATACTTATAATTCATTACGGTTCATTTTCCAATAACTGGAAAATGAAAATAGAGCAAAATTTACCCCGTTTTGGCTTATTTGTACATATATCTCAATTTGTGAGAAGCTATAATTAAATAAATAATAATAAATCAAGTCTACTATGTGTTAACTATCACATAAATCATAAAAATAAGGACTTAATGCATACACTACCTTTGAAGGGGACTTTATTTTATTTTCTCTTTTTTTACAAAATAAGAGTGCATTTTGACCCCAAAGCAATTTGCAAAAGTTTGCTTTGTTCTACAACGGGGAGGGGTATGTCGGCAGTTTGAGGGTCTGGCCACTGCTCTAAATGTGCTCTGACGTTTGACGTCAACTTACTTCAGTTAAGATCGCCATGTGTGCGGACTGTAGAAGAAAATGATCTTATATCTTCTCTCGTTAGTTCGTAATGTAATACAAACGATATGTGTAAAACCTGCAATTATTACATAAACAGTTATACGTCGGAAACTGAGTCCAAATGTTTTATGTCATGTATCTCTGTAATAACTATGAATTGGTGATTGTGAAGTTTTGGGTTCCGAAGATACTGTATAGTTTTGAATATAATGAAAAGTTCAAATGTCATTTTTCACGTATAAGGCCCCTTATCTCATGGTTGGTCACAAATAGAGTTTTGAGATGTATGCGTATTGTGTCCATGCATCTCTGGTGATTTTGTGGACGATAGAAGATGCCATAAAATTAACTTACATGTAAGTGGAGCCTGATTAATATATATGTTGGTGTTTGTTTGACGACTATAGTTTTAGCAATGAAGTCTTATCTCAGTCTTAGATGAATCTTTGATTCTTCACAGATACTACTCTAATAAACCTCGTCGGGAAATATGATAACCGGGCTGAAAGTGTCAATGTATTTCGGAATACATTTATATAAATAAAAGCGACAAAAAGCATTTTCATGATCATAAGAAAGCGCTTCTAAAAGCAGAGTCCATTGTAAGATTCCGTCTATGTTATGAGCATGTGTTTATAAATCACTACCAGGTGTTCGTGAAAAGGTGAGCGTATCCTGTCAAAACGGTGGCACACGTCACAAACAAGTCAATTGTTCACCTGGAAAAAGATGGTACAAGAGAAAAAAGGGAATTTATTTTTGTCACTGATGCGTCAACTTTGGAAATATCCTCCACATTCCTACAAAAAAAACTTTCTGAAAGTTTTGCTGAGCCTTTTAATAAAACTCGAATGAAAGTCTTGAAGTCTTGTCGATTTCCTCCCGAGCTTTACTGCATTTAAACAAGGAGTACGAATATCCGTTGAAGACAGATACTGTATTCGGGGGAATCTCGTGGATCATGTATGTCTTCATGTGTTCCAGTTGGCCGCTCTTGGAGGTTTTATCTTGTTGTTTGGTTTCCTGGCCTTCAATGGCGGGTCTGCTCTGAATATCTCCGGCGAGGGTAGCGGGGCCGTCATCAGCCTCTCCGTTGTCAACACCATCATCTCCGGTTCAATGTCAGCCTTCGTCTCCCTCTTCATCCACAAGACTGGATACTTTGGAACGCGCCACTGGAGCCTCCTAAACACCCTCAATGGTGCCCTCACAGGCATGGTAAGTTTGTTTGTTTGTTTGTTTGTTTGTTAATGTAGTTATATTCCAGCCTATGACGGCGAGCTGAATATATTCGAGTCTGGGTCAGATAATCCAGTAATTGACAACATGAGCATCGATCTACACAATTGGGATACGATGACATGCATCAACCAAGTCAGCGAGCCTGTCCATCCGATCCCGTTAGTCGACTCTTACGGCATGTATGGGTTGATGAAGACCTATTCCACCCTTGAATTGTCATTACGTGATGTAAGAATAAATATTGTAATTTAATCGTATCCTGTATTAATTAACAAAACACAATTGTTCTTGTTTACAAAGTCATACATTTATCCTGAAGAACAAAGGTAGATATCGTTTAACTAATGGCTTGTTTTGCAACCTTTCCATGATGGTAGTTCTTTGACTACCCTGGTCTATGCTTCATCCGCTTCTTTGCATCATTGCCGATTTCTCGTGTCCCCCGCCATCATTCGCCTTGTAAAATCATACTCACTCAGCTACGCTTTGCATCGTGCTGACAACCAGAAGAGAAACATAGATTGTTCTTTGCCAACGTTTTGGTAGGTATTGGTGGCATCAAAGACATATACTGACTGAGTGAGTATTGTGTTACTCCGCTTTTAGCAATATTCCAGCAACATCACGGCGGGGGACACCAGAAATGGACTTCACAGATTGTACCCATGTGGGGTATCGAACCCGGGTCTTCGGTGTGACGAGCGAATGCTTTAACCACTAGGTTGCCCCTACGCCCCAACACATAGACTTAGAGAAAAGGAGATTAATGCCATCAACGGATCTGTTACAAATGACACAGTCTAATCTCATACAGGACACACCCGTGAATATCCGGGGTAGAATAGGTCTTCAGCAACCCATGCTTGCCGTAACGGGATCGGGTGGTCAGGCTCGCTGACTTAGTTGAAGAATCCCGATACCGTGGATCGATGCTCATGATGTCAATCACTGGAGTGCCTGGTCCAGACTCGAGTCTTTACAGACCGCCGTCATACAGCTGGAATATTGCTGATTGCGGCGTAAAAAACAAACAAACAAACAAACAAACAAATCATACAGGACGCACTGTGTAGTGCTTGTTTAACGCTGCTCTTGGACAGTTGTGTAAGTCACTGGTATATCACAGTTGGATTAGTACAAATTAAACCCAAAGTCATGATGGTGTTGGAAATTTACAACTTTGGCATTTGGACATGCTGCATTGGTCGGCTCTTTTCCAACAGATACATAAAAGTTCAAGCTATCTTAACATAAAAATGGGTAGTACATTACTTGTTCCATGAGTGTATGTGACCCATACCTTTTGCAGACACGCTGCCAAGCCTATGTTTGTTTGTTTGTTTGTTCTTTAACGCCGCACACAGCAATATTCCAGCTATATGACGGCGGGACAAGCGAACAAATCAGAGGCCCAGACCAGATGCTATCTTTGCATTTCCGACTGTCAGATGTCCAGGTTTGACTACCCCAATGACGGAATTGTTTCTACAGGTCGCAGCATGCGCTGGGTGTAACGTCTTCTCTCCCTGGGGTGCTCTCGTCGTCGGCTTCTTCGCCGGAATCTCGTATAAAATGTGGTCCAGTCTCGTCGGCAGAATAAAAGTCGATGATCCATTGGACGCTGTGGCAGGTGAGGAAGGAAAACTCACATTGTCTCACTCGTAGAATACAGTTACAATATGTCATATAAAAACATATAAACATAAAGTTCTACAACCTGTCGCTAGGTGACTTACCAAAGACAATATGTCATTAAAGTAAACAGTAATACACAGCGATAAGATGTACATATGTACATTAATGACATAAAATCGAGCGCCGTTATGCTGAAATGTTATTGCAGGTTTAGCCACGCAGAAAGTAAAATCAGCGTTTGATAAAATATGTGTAATCATTTCACTATAAGAGTAATTATTAAATTAGTAAATTTAAGACTTCAGCAATTGAGAAGATCACCCCTCGCGTCGTCGTATAAAGGGCAAATAAGTAAAACATGGATCTCGTCTTCCTCCCGGTCTGTACAATAAAAGCAATATCTCTTTTATTGGTATATTTGTGGAACGTCCAGTTTGCCTTAAAAGGAGCCATTCCGCATCTGAATTTACCTTGAGAGCTCCTGTGAGCACGGTTGAGAGTGTATTCACATATTTTCTGTGCTATAGACTTTCTTAATTCGTTTCTTCCACGGTTTTCTTTTTAATAAATAATGAGTGATGTTCTTCTTCATAACTAATCGACCGTCCAATATTGGGGTGGGATTGGCACCGGGACCCTGGATTTTAAGATGTCCTTTTAACACGTTTCTTAAAACCCGTGAAGATCCGGGGTAGAATAGGTCTTCAGGAACCCATGTTTGCCGTAAAAGGCGACTAACGGGATCGGATGGTCAGTCTCGCTGACTTGGTTGATGCATGTCATCGTGTCCAAATTGTGTGGATCGATGTTCATGATGTCAATCACTGAATTGTCTGGTCCAGACTCGATTATTTACAGACCGCCGTCATATAGCTGGGATATTGCTGAGTGCGGCGTTAAACAACAAACAAACAAATTTTAGTCAGGATATTCAGCATATCATGTGAACAATGCTTTTGTGTGTATGAAACATGAGACCAGTATTTCATTTCAAACAAATTATGTTTCTGAACTATATTTGCGCCCACTCTTGAACCTACTGCCGAACACTATTTATACGACGAAGCAACGAAGTGGTCAGTTGTTTATTAATGTCGTTTATCTCTGATACTCTTTTCATGTTTCAGTTCACTTCGGGGGCGGTCTGTGGGGTGTGATTTCTGTAGCGTTTCTTAAAAAGGATGAGGGCATTGTTTTTGCCTGGGACAAGAAATCAGGACTGGTAAGATTACTTTATACTTAATGTTGGATACAAAAAGTGCAAGCGTCCTCGTGCTTTAACTATACCAGTTCAGGGCAAGACTATACCTTTTTACACTGCACGAATACACTTCGTGTGAGGGTGTCAATACTCTGAATTTCTTGTTTCGTCTCATCAACAACCCCAAAAGGATACGAAAGGGCGGGTACAGCATAAGTATTTGTAAAATTATAATTCTGACGAAGTAATGGGCGCCTACGTTACAGTCCATTTCAGTAAAATTGTCGATACGATTCCATGGTACTGCACTGTTACAGCCCACATGAAGGTAGATTGGTAGATACTCGATTTTTCATAAGCAACAGTCTGTAAAACACTTTATCTTGTCCGAACAGGCAAAAAGCATTTTTCGATCATTTCCGACGGTACTTTCATTACGTCAAAGTCAGACAAGAGTCGAGATTGACTGAAGCACGGGCATGTGGTTGGGCTCATTTGACTTTTGTTTCAGTACCTGACATTAGACAAGTTGGTGGAGGAACGGCTTGTATACAAACCCCGTGACGTATTGATGATAAACTTGCAAAATGACATCATGCGCGTGTTATTTATATGGAAGAAAATGGCGTCATCAAAGCGCCCATCATATGTGATAGTGGGCAAGCGGTCAAAAGCGCCAGGTGCTCAGATCGTATCCCGCTAGTAACCGGGTTGTTATCCAGCCTTGGGACCTACAATGTTTACAAGTCTTTAAAGTGTGTCACTGACCCTAGTGTACAGTACATATACCCTATGCACTCAAAAGAACCCGTACGTACATACGTACATACACCCGAAACACAAGTGTCAAAACGTGCAGTGTACAATGGGCAAGTGACGTAGTCCAAATGTGCCTCTGTTCACCCAGCAGGGAAAGGGTACTCAATATTTGAAGGGAATGTAAAAATCTTACTGTGCCCCTAGGCAGCTTGGGCTGTATACTCCGCAGGGAGTTGAGAATGATAACTGAAATGCAAACGGATCCACTGGTCGGGGAACAAAATAAACCGCATTTGAGCGGAAACGAGCACCTGGATACCTGCGGTATATAAACGTATATGGTGATGATGATGATGATGATGATGATAACATGTCTGTCTTGAAGTGGAACCATGATTGCAAAACAAATAATTAGTCTGTTAACTTCAGAATCTGGCGTGGCAGCTTGCAGGCGTCACGGCCATCACTGCATGGACAGCAACACTGTGTCTCGTCATGTTCGGCATTCTCCGGCTGCTCGGTAAACTTCGGGTGGACGAGGCTGTCGAACGCAAAGGTTTGTACTGCCTGCTCTTAATGTACAATAGATCCATGTTTGACCTTAGTCGGGAACAACACTGCGAATATCTTTTTTTCATTAAACGTAATGGTTGAGGAAGGGTTAGAATGTTAACGCAAAATCTAATTTGATATTTTAAATATCTTTTCAATAAATTCATATCAGCTTTTTCCACATTAAACGAGTGTATGACGGCTATATATATTCTTTGTTGGTTTTGTTAATGAAATATATAACCAAATAGAATATCTTCACGAGGCAAGGGCGTTAACTGACTATGAAAGTCCAGTTTTTCCGCTTTCAAAGTCAGTTAACTCCTTGCCTCGGGAGACCGCCTCCGTGGTCTTGTGGTAGAGCGTCCGCCCGGAGAGCGGAAGGTCCAGGGTTCGATCCCAGGCCGCGTCATACAAAAAGACGTTAAAAGATTGTACTTGTTGTTACCCTGTCTGGCGCTCGGCATTAAGGGTCTAAAACAAGGACTGGTCGGCTCAGAGTCAGTATACTGTGTCTGAGTGGGGTATTCATGTTAAACTGCGGCATGGTATCTCAGTGAGCATCAGTCCGGACTAGTACAAGCAGCCACACACACACATACACGTGCATGCACGTCGCTATATAAGTGCAATAATCTTGGACGCGACGTTAAACCCAATTTCACCTCACCTCACCTTGCCTCGGGAAGATGATTAATGACATGAATACGTTGATGTTATGGGGCGTTTAGTTAGCCAGTTGCTTAAATTGTTCACTTGTAACGTCAAAACTCCTAAATCGATTCCACTATACAATACGCTACGGTACAGTATGGTGTCCCTGTCGCGATATTGATACTGCTTAAAGGTTTACACAATAATTCGTGATAAACAGTATGTTTTCGTTATCATGATGGGCATATGTTGGAGTGTTTTCTATATCTGTATAGGTCTCGACATCCATAAGCACGGCGAACCAGCGTACCCCATGGAATCGTATGGGCACGGTTGGGTGGAGCGCATCTTAAAGGTCTTGGAGGACGGTAGACTGTCAGAAATAAAGCAAGGTTTGGTGCTACTATAACTTAAATCTAATAATGATTTGGTACCGAATTGTAGGCATTGTAAGCGTTTTATTTGTTTGTGGCTTTTATATTTTTTTTACTTTGAAATCTATTCTTATTTTGTATTAAACCGATGATGCAGAATACTAATAAATCTTTTTTCACTATTTTTCTTTACATTTTTACTCATTGCCCTATCAGCTGCTAACACATTTTGTAAATGACTTAAATGTAATACCAAGCATAATGTCACACATATTTCCAGCATATTATTCATTATTTGCGTGACAGCCGTAATCAAAATTGAATAATGTTCAAAGTTGCGCTAACCCGTGATTTGGTTGGTTGGTTGGTTGTTTTACGCCGCACTCAGCAATATTCCAGCTATATGACGGCGGTTTGTAATAATCGAGTCTGGACCAGACAATCCAGTGATTGACATCATGAACATCATGAACGCCTTTTACGGCAAGCATGGGATGCTGAAGACCTATTCTACCCCGGATCCTACGGGTCGGAGAGCCCATATGACGTTAAACCCTTAAAAGGCGACAATGCTTGTCGTAAGAGGCGACTAACGGGATCGGGTGGTCACACTTGCTGACTTGGTTGATGCATGTCTTCGTATCCCAATGGCGTGGATCGATGCTTATGATGTCAATCCCTGGATTTAGTGGTCGAAGGCCACATGAACGGACTAGGTACATTTTATTGATCGAAATATGAAAATGACTGCTATTTTGAGGATTTCTTTCATCAATGTTGTATTTAAAATGGGAACTTTTTTAATATATTTAGTTGTTCCTGGCATTGACAACGATGGATACAAATATGAAGAAAATCATTCTGTTGGCTTCGACTCACCGGAAGTAGAGGTGATGAATAAGGGCAGAATCAAGAGAACCGAACACCCCCTACCAGTCGTTCAGAGCGGAAATACCGTGACGACGCCCATGTAGCGGAGTCAGTCATTGAAGTTGGTCAACACACTCTGCCATCATCTGTAATTCTAACGCGTATAAGCTTTGTTTAGTTGGCAGGCATCGGGTACGTTGATTTGTAGCAGTCATCAGCTTGGATTATTCTCATCGATGAGTCGCTGATACGGGACAGCTTCTTTAAAAGCTGATCTATGCCGAACGTTCAAAAGTGTGATTTGTTTTCTGGATTGCCAAAAAACAGATGGAATACGGACGCTCTGCTTTACGCTTTGAAGCGTTTTTCTAATAATTAACCATTAACAAGTGGGGGGGGGGGGGGGGGGGGGTATATATATATGTAACACCCAGCAGCTTATATACCCTTCAAAAAAGGTAGGGGGGCACGGGTGGCCCAGTCGTCTAAGGCGCCGCGATTCGCTGTGCAGAGTTGCGTCCCTTGGGCACGCCAGAAACCTATGATTGTGGGTTCGAATCCCGGTTCGCCCCGATTATGTTTCTAGGTTTGTCAGCACCATACCCGTGCCCGTGGGTTTCACCGAAGTGGTAAACGTCTGAGACCTGCATCACTTCGGGCTTTCCTCCCACATTAAGCTGACACGCCGTGATATGACTGGAATACTGTTAAAAGCGGCGTTAAACCCAACTCACTCACTCACTCAAAAAAGGTAGGGGTTATAAAATATAGATGTTAATACCAAGTTTGGAACTAAAACAAGTGTTGACGCCAAACATCCTGTGCAAGGTCAGTTAAGCCATGACGCCTGGTCAGCATCGGGTCATCTCAGTCAAGCAGTGATTGGTCTATCTCCGAATTGCCTCCATCAGCATTCATACTCAAATAAGAAAGAAAGGCAACACCAGCTTTATACTCACATAAGTTTTACTAACTCATAGTCCATCTATCAATACGCAACAGTATCAGACCAACCAGGCTCGTCGCTCAGTGGGGACCTTAGAACGATCTGGATTCGACTCGATATATATTTCTTACAATTTGTTAAAATTTTCAGTTGTTTCCGAGTATCGACTCCTTTATTAAGAGACCCGTGAAGATTCCGGGGTAGAATAGGTCTTCAGCAACCCATGCTTGCCATAAAAAGTGACTATGCTTGTCGTAAAAGGCGACAAACAGGATCGGGTGGTCAGGCTCGCTGACTTGGTTGATGCATGTCATTGATCCCAATTGCGTGGATCGTTGCTCATGATATCAATCACTGGATTGTCTGGTCCAGACTCGATTATTTACAGACCGCCGTCATATAGCTGGAATATTGCTGAGTGCGGCGTTAAACAACAAACCAAACCAACCCAAAAGCCTTAATTAAGATTATATATTAAATCCCGTGTATTGCATACGCTGGACATTTTATGAGATATAAAGAAAGGAGAGAGGAGAACGGAATGACTGCAGGTATAAGACAAGGTAAACTAGATGGAAGAACTCCATCTCCGATACAAGATAAGGAGATAAAACACAGTGGGAGACACCCCTTCCCCCAGTTTCACTTAAAGTTTGGGATTCATGTAAATTATGAACTGATTGCACTTTAATGGTCATCATTTCCCATCATTATTACCGTATACAGATACATCTGTGATCTTCCCATTACCGAGACGAAGTGTTTGTATTTTTTTACAAAAGTCTTTATAGTTTTGTACTTTTGTTTATACATCTTTATCAATTTATGTTTTATGCATGATTAATGAGTGCTCTAACAATGTGTGCATCACCCTGTAAAAAAGCTAAGCCACTGTTTTAAGAAGACAGGTATTGACAATGTAATATTGCATAATCATAGTTCTTATAGTTCCTTCAAATATCACTTGTATTTTATGTATTTATGTCATGAATAAATATGTATTTTTTCTGGTTGAATCCTTTAATTCTATATAACACCCGGTGTTGTGCAGAGAAAGTGTGAGGGCGGTCGGGTAGCCTAGTGGTTAAAGCGTTCGCTCGTCACGCCGAAGACCCGGGTCGGATTCCTGACATGGGTACAATGTGTGAAGCCCATTTCTGGTGTCCCTCGCCGTGATATTGCTGGAATATTGCTAAAAGCGGCGTAAAACCATACTCACTCACTCACTCAGAGTCAGTTTGAGGACGTGCTAGCTGGTCCCAACATGGGGGTTGTTCTTTCTGACACCAGCCATTACCAAAGGAGGCGTGTGGGATGGACATTCGGAAAATTGTTCGGTATTTGTAAAGAATGATCATGGAACACATCAGTGAGCTGTTAGAGTGCATACAGTATAGTGTCTTGGAGAGAATATTAGATCAGGACATTCTTGTATGTCTGTTTTTTTTCAATGGTAAAAATATTTAACTGTTACCAAGTGACGGTACTGACGGTTGCGATCTGAAGAACAGGACCCCCGGTGATAGCTTTGAATACCGAGCATAATGTTAATGTTGTCAAATATTGGACCCTTATTTGTTCTTCAGAACTCTTCCGGGAGCACAGGTTGCACAGAGACTGAATGCTGCTCAATATGTTTTGGTCCATTTCGCGTACATGAATGAATCCAATGATCTTGGGTTGAAATTCCGGCAACATATCAATACTCTTTGGTAAAGTTCTGTGTCACCTCTTCTCCCATTTAGTCGAGTGGTTAAAGTGTTAGATTGTCACACTGACGGTCAGGGGTCGGACACCAACACATAGGTACAAAAGTTCATTTCTATGATATTGGTGGAATGTTGCAAACGGTGGCGGGGAAACTGTTGCATGACCGAGATACTGCTCAGTGAGTTGTTGAACCTGACATACACGGATAACTTCCGAGGACAGTTTAGACCGCCTCTGTGGTTTGGTAGTAGAGCATGCGCATTCGCCCTGAGAGCGGAAGGTCCGGGTTCGATTCCCGGCCGCGTCATACCAAAAGACGTTAAAAGATGGTACTTGTTGTTAACGTGTCTGGCGCTCGGCATTAAGGGGCTAAAACAAGGACTGGTCGTCTCGGAGTCAGTATACTGTGTCTGGTATTCATGTTTAACTGCGGCATGGTATCTCAGTGTGCTAGCACTATAAATCGGCATCAGTCCTGACCAGTACACGCAGCCAGACACACACATGCATGCACGTCGTTTTATAAGTGCAATAATCTTGGACGCGACGATAAACACCATTTCACTTCACCTCACCGAGGACAGTTTTATGTAAAGTGGTATTTGCGTTACAAGAGGTAACACAACCAAATAAATTGCAAGTCATTCCGTGGCATTTGACAGGCTTAACAAGCATGATTTGCGTCTATGTTAAGGGAGATGAAGGGTGACAAATCATACATTGGGGTAAAATGTTATTTTCATTCTCATTAATATTATTTAAATCCCTTCTCTTCAACGGAATTGAATTTTGGAACATAATATGAAAAGTAAGTACATATATATATATGAATAAGTTAAGAGTGCTCCAAAAGCTACAAATATCAAATTCCGTTTGTTTCGAGTCATCATATTGAAACACATTTATGTTCGATTTCCATCCGTCAGTAGTCTTCTATTATACCTTTTAGCACATAATTATTGCTACTTACTTTTTGTAGCATATACTAACAAGATCGACAGCGTTTACATTGCCAATAAAATATATATAGTTTCATGGAAGAATAATGTGATATTGATAATTATCCACAGCCCAAACACTTATGGATCTTATTATCATTAATGGGAGGATGGGGTACGTTTTAACGACCATCATGTATAGGGTACGCTTTATTGACGGTCACATGACATATACTGGTATTAATTCCACGTCACTACAATTCATGTTAGTAATTGTTATTTATACGATCTTATTGTAGCCTCGTAGTAAAGTAATAATACCTCAGTGAGCAGTAACATGCATGAGCATAAAGTATACGACTGTATTTCAAGTATTTCGTGTTTTTATATGGGTGAGTGAGTGGGTTTTGAGTAACATCAATTTCAACAGTTTTACAATTATATCCCTGTCAGCTGTGTTTGTATGTTTGTTGTTTAACGCTGCACTCGGCAGTATTCCAGCTATATGACGTCTGTCTGTAAATGATCGAGTCAGCTGTGACTGACATCATGAGCATCGATCCACGCAATTGGGATGCGATGAAATGCATCGACCAAGTGAGGGACCACTAGTTCACGTTAGTCGCCTCTTACGACAAGCATTGGTTGCTGAAGACCAATTCTAATCCGGATCTTCGAATTTGACGGGTATAATGACGGCATTAAGAAAGCACTGTTTTCCCATGAGTGAGTGCGTGAGTGAGTTGGTTTCGATTGACGTCACTTTCAACAATATTTCAGTTATATTTCAGTGTGTCAGATCAACTTATTTTAAGGCCTTTACATAATTTTATAGAAAATAGAGGTAGATTTGTACATTGAGTATGCCAAGCTTATAGGCATTTGACTGTAGTGTTGGTAACATGAGTGGTCTTCTTATATAATTTGTATTGTTTCTTGACCTTAAAGTTTTGATGTCAACACAAATGCAATTATGTAACAGGGAGTGATATTTACATAAGCCAGTTAGGCCTGTTTACCAACCCCTTTCATCTGAAGTTGAGTAAATTAAGAAATTCAAGTCAATTCTTTATATCACTAATTTTTACCTTAATGAATTATTTGATTTGCTCTTGTTCCATACATTCTAAACAGCGTAGGTACATTATGCCAGAAAGCCTTTTGAGCCCAAATGTCTGTTATTTCGTTTCGTTGTTTAATTTCACTTTTGTTATACTTGATTTCGTTTCTTTTACCATTTTCCAATTTCCAGATATACCAAAATGGCAGCCTCCAGCTAGGAGTGCTGACCATGTGCTTGACCAACAGAAATACAATCTTTTGTGTCTAAAACAGCCTTGGCGTCCTATATCCATCACGAACCGCCCAGCCCTCGCCCGTGCATGCAAGCACCGTGTTTTCACATTATACATTACTATTGTTATTGGTACAATGAAGTCTTTTTAGTAATGATTTTGACTTTCGTCCAAATTAATTATTCCATTCTTTGACTGTTGGTGGTAGAAAAAATGACTTTTTATTAAAATTCGTACTAAGGCTAGGAATTTATAGATGAAAAACTTCTTTAATACAATTAAGAGAGACGTTTCGGTGTAGGTACTAACACCGTTATCAAGCAATATCACCGTGATTAGAACCTACACCGAAACGTCGCTCTTAATTGTAATAAAGAAGTTGTTCATCCATAAATTCTTATCCTTACTTAGTCCCCCAACTTCTAAATGCCAATCAAAGAAGGAAAATCCGTACGGCACAATGGTATTTGGAATCTGTTTCATGACCTCGTATTATATGCGGAGGTGTCAGGTACATTATATGGAATATGGAACAGGTTCACGCAGATAGTGCGGAGCTTTACCAAAGATCATTTTGTGAGTTTGACTGCGAACGCTCGTGGCTCTAAGTTATCTAAGAGGCACGGAGGAAGCACCGTTATGGCAATAAAACACACGTCCATACAGATCCATTTCTTGCACTCAACATATATACACGCATACTGTTGGGATAAAAGAGTAGAACCCAAGTTCATCCTTCAGTGTAGATTTGTCACGTTAACGCAATTTGAGGCAAAGGGTAATGTGTGTCGGTCGTTTTCAGGGATTATGTCGGACAGTGATTGTGCCCTAGATATGTCATCCTTACTTGTGTGTAGGGGCGGTCGGGTAGCCTAGTGGTTAAAGCGTTAGCGCGTCACGCCGAAGACCCGGGTTCGATTCCCGACATGGGTGCAATATGTGAAGCCCTTTTCTGGTGTCCCCCGCCGTGATATTGCTGGAATATTGCTAAAGGCGACGTAAAACCATACTCACTCACTCACACTCACTCACTCCCTTACTTGTGTCATTCAGTATATTACCCTGGTGTATATTTATGATTTATGGCGGTGTTCTTCGATTTATCGCAGTAGTATATTAAGTATAATAGTGCCATTCTCGCAGAGAATTGTTGTTCTGATAATCCCAAAGGTATAGGCTGTATTTAAGAAATGGTAAATAGCGAAATTATATTTTCCTACGTGACAGATTATAGACATATAGGTCTGTTGAGATGTAAGGTTGGACAGTGGTTGAGATGTTTGCACCATGACATTCTATAATCTGTTTTAGGAAAATAGTTGTAATGTCTGGCAGAGACTGTTTACTTCAATTACAACACAACTACTTACAACTACACAGAAATTAATATAGGAGAAGAAAATTAATAATAATTGTATTTACTTAATATCTAAATCGTGATGATGAACACATTTTGACCGAAATGAACACATCTGTCGGTGGTACAATGTATCTGTCCAGAGATAACAGCCTCCAATACGTATTTCGTCGGCGGTATATGTCTAGACATGACCGTCTTTTACCAAGACGTACACTGTCGGCGGTGTCTGTCTAGACATGACCGTCTTTTACCAAGACGTACACTGTCGGCGGTGTCTGTCTAGACATAACCGTCTTCTATCAAGACGTACACTGTCGGCAGTATCTGTCTAGACATGACCGTCTTTTACCAAGACGTACACTGTCGGCAGTATCTGTGTAGACATAACCGTCTTCTACCAAGACGTACACTGTCGGCAGTATCTGTCTAGACATGACCGTCTTTAACCAAGACGTATTCTGTCGGCGGTGTCTGTCTAGACATAACCGTCTTCTACCAAGACGTACTCTGTCGGTGGTACATGTCTAGACATAACCGTCTTCCACCGATACGTACACTGTCGGCGGTATCTGTCTAGACATAATTGTCTTCTACCAAGACGTACACTGTCGGCGGTATCTGTCTAGACATAACTGTCTTCTACCAAGACCTACACTGTCGGCAGTATCTGTCTAGACATAACCGTCTTCTACCAAGACCTACACTGTCGGCAGTATCTGTCTAGACATAACCGTCTTCTACCAAGACATACACTGTCGGCAGTATCTGTCTAGACATAACCGTCTTCTACCAAGACGTACACTGTCGGCAGTATCTGTCTAGACATAACCGTCTTTTACCAAGATGTACACGGCCGGCGGTATCTGTCTAGACATAACCGTCTTCTACCAAGACGTACACTGTCGGCAGTATCTGTCTAGACATAACCGTCTTCTACCAAGACGTACACTGTCGGCGGTATCTGTCTGGACATAACCGTCTTCTACCAAGACGTACACTGTCGGCGGTATCTGTCTGGACATAACCGTCTTCTACCAAGACGTACACTGTCGGCGATGTCTTCCTTTACATAACCGTCTCCACCAAGACGTTGATTGTGAAAGCTATGGTTGTGGGTTCGAATCCCGGTTCGCCCACATTATGTTTCTAGGTTTGTCAGCACCATAACCGTGTTCGTGGGTTTCACCTAAGTGGTAAACGTCTGAGACCTGCATCACTTCGGGCTTACCTCCCACATTAAGATGACACGCCTTGATATAACTGGAATACTGTTAAACCCAACTCACTCACTCACTCTCTAGCTTATTATAGAACCTTTCCCAAAGCTTATTGTATAACGTATTGGTGTGTCAACTAATGTTTGTTTTAGTCACACATATTACCCTATCCGATGTTCATGTCACAACCGTCTTGTAGGTTATGTACCACATCGCCTTTGTTCAAACACATGAAGATCAGAACATCGACAGTAAAGACTACACCACTGCAAACATACAGATGCAGATGTTAGTTTCTTGTTATGTTAGCCACATCAATAACTACTATTTTCCTGTTTTCACAAAGTCACCAGAAATGAACATATTTGCTGATAGACAACGGCTACCTCTCATGTGGAACGATTGACCACACCCCGCGGGTTTTCAGTGCGACTAACGGTAAAGGTTATTTGCCGTAACACAGGCTGACATTCTGTGGGCGACATAACATGCCACATACTTTATGTATATGTTAAGGTCATGTTTTATTCACCTCTTAAAACATATCCCACAGTGGATATGACTTTCAACTTACCATAAATAGTTATAAGCATTGGCAGATTATAAGGTTATTTTGACATAGGATGTGGTGACGTTCGATAAATACAGGATGTCGATGATTTGAATTCTGTTTGTGCCAGAGTTGAGTGGTGTTACGTTCGCGTGCAACTGATAGGTTTTCTCTTTTTGTGGGAGAAGGACCACTAAACCTATTGCTATCTTTCAGACCAGGATCAAGAACTGTTCTGTTCAAGCCATGACGATATCCCGTGTACTCATCCTTCTTGCCATCACAGGTAGGTTTATTTGATTTTTTTATAAACCATTAGACGTTACAGGCAAAACACAATGGTGATTGAACGATTTGCATCACTTGTTCGAGTCCTTTCCCTCTTACAAAATGTTCATGCGATCAATACACAGCAGCACAGAATAAATACATAACTTGGACAATATTGTTAACTTCATGTCCACGTTTATAAACGTAATAAACTGCATGGCAAAAGAAAGTATATACCCATGTTTGATGGTGGCTAAGAATGAAACAAACAAGACATTGTTTTTCGATGGTGATGTATTTTATATGGGCATCAGAGTTGTGTTTTTAAACCTTAAGTCAGCAGTGTTTCGGAGACTGTTTTGAGACTGGTAACGTTTTAACAACGTGTTTCATGTTTCTGTGTGGAGAGTTTCTTCCCTTAGATGCGCAAGGAACTCATGATAGTTTGTTCGATTCCACGATTTGTCCTGATTATGGTACTTGGTTTGTCAGCACCATACGCGTACTCGTGGGATTAAAAAGGACTAATGATCACTTTGAGCTCCTTACCCACCTTAAGCTGACACGCCGTGATATATTGGGGAAAAAATGTTCAAAGCTTAAACGCACGCAACTCACTCACTAACTGGGGCGGTAGGGTAGCCGTGATGTTGCTGGAACTATTGCTCAAAGCGGCATTAAACCATACTCTCTCACTCTTCTGGATGCATTGTACTTGCTGCAGTAAAACGAACTCTTTTCGTGTATCAGAAATGACTATAAATTTTACCCCCGAAGAACTGGAGGAGAAGTCGTTGTCAGTTGACATGAGTCTTTATAAGAACTGCATTAATATTAAGAGGGATGCAATGCAAATTATAATTAACACCCTGTTTGTTAAATATATACGCAAATTGTTTTCCTAGTTGTGTATGAAATGTGCTTAGTAATGTAACCTGTTGATGTGCATGCGTGATGTACAGCTGCAGCTGCATCTCGCCACTTCCGGAAGAGAGACTGGGTTCCTCCCTTAGACGTGGATCAGTGCCAGGAGCTGGAACAACAGACGCTGAACAACCTCACAGTTGTCAGGGGGATAATGAGAGGCGACGGTCTCAACACTTTGGTGACTGATGGGGCCTTGAATCTAGACTGCTCGTAAGTCGAACTGTAGTGATGTTGCTTTCTGTTTTCTCTTTTTACACTGTTATAGTGAGTGAGTATGTTTTTACGCCGCTTTGAGCAATATTCCAGCAATATCACGGCGGGGGACACCAGAAATGGGCTTCACACATTGTACCCATGTCGGGAATCGAACCCGGGTCTTTGGCGTGACGAGCGAACGCTTCAACCATTGGGCTACCCGACCAACCCTACACTGTTGTATATTGTTTATTTGTTTTATTTCTAAGCAAAGAGGAAGGTTATATACCTCCTCAGCACAGATCCCCAACACTCCTTACTCACGTCATTTACATGGATGACCTTGAATTTCTTGCCAAATCAGAATCAGCACTAGAAAACAGATTGTTATTGTCGAGTCCTTCCCTGATGATATCAGTATGACCTCTGGACTCGACAAATGCAACATTGTTCATCTGAAACGTGGCAAGGTAGAAGAAATTGATAATTTCAAGGAAGGGCAGGCCTATACGAAATTAGGTACATACAGTTTATGGATAAACTCCAGAATGCCCATATCAAATTAAAGAGATCCTTCGGGCAGAATACAAATGCAGACTTCAGAAAATCTGGAGTTCAGAGCTGAACGCTCGCAATAAAGTTTAAGCCACAAATACTTAAGCGTACCCCTCCATTCATATTTTGTGTGTGTTTCGATAGGACGAAACAAAAAAATCAGGGTACTGATCCATGAGACCCTCACACGAAGAAACATGTCAGACATTAGATCTCTCCACCCTCCCTCTACCCTCAATCACTTTTATTTACCTATCATAATAGGACTGTACGTGGTTGGATTTACGTGGAGGCTCTTCATGACATAATTGTTTTGTGCACTTTTGCACACATTTATTTTTCTGATGATCCTCTTGTGAAGCATGTCAAGACTCATGATGAAAGGATGTGGGACATAATTTCAATGTCAATGTTGATTTTGTTGATGGTTCTGTACTGCTGGACGGTACAGAAATGAGTGTCAACCAAGCGAAGTGCCATATCAAGTCGGCCCAGAGTTTTTCAAGTTTTTCAAGGAGAGGCTATCTTAAGGGGGCAAGGGCCCTGAGCTGATGATGAGCCTAACCAGCCTGACTGTGCCAGGATCACCCAAACCCTCTTTGCTGCATTTTTTCATTTTAATCTGTAAATAATAACAATAACAATAATAATAATAATGATGATGATAATGATGATGATGATGATGATGATGATGATACAGGGCGGCTACACTGAGAGGAAACAAGGACATGAGCGATGAAGCCTGGGGTATGTGCGTCAGTAGCTTGGATCTCGATGTGCCGTTCTTCACCGCCGTGTACACCTACATCTGTGCCAACCAACAAGGTAATGATCAGAGACTCAAAGTAATTCACAGCTGCCCCAGGTAGCATGATGCAAACGACGACAATGAAAACTAAACCTCTTCACGGATGCTAACGAATTCAAAACGTCAACGAACTATGCCAGTTTAGTCTTTCCACCTACATTGTACTGGTCAACACGTCGTGACAAAACCGAAAACTAGGTTTGATCCAGTTCACTCACTAACTACTGAATTTCAGGTGTTTTCAAATATTTGGACGCTCAGCTTGAATTAGCGGTAATTAAAGTCGACCATACATTGGTGCACACTCGTTCTACATGCATAATATACTGGTATCGATTAATTGCACATACATGGAAATGACAAGTTTAGCTACACATTCGTGTATACGTATACTTGATTGGTTTTGATATGTTGTATAATTAGCTATCCTCCCCGACGCCCTGCTAAATTGCATCTAAATGGCACCGGTCTGTAAATAATGGAGTCGGTACCACAGACAAGTGAGGCACACTATGGGCAATGTCCCACGCACCTGAATACGATACCAAACATTCAATAAATGTTCTGCTTCAAAATGACCTAGATCTGTGCGGTTATTATGTTTTAGTGAACAGTGAGAAAATGTTAACATTATTTTCATGGGGTGAGATTAAAATGTGCCCCCCCCAAAAAAAAAAAAAAAAAAAAATTAAATAAAAAAAATTAATAAAAATAATAAATAAATAAATAAATAATTTAACAAATATTTAAATAAATAAAAAATAGAAATAAAAAAAATAAATAAAATTTCAGCTCTCTTTTCAGAATACAAAATCTCAGCCATACTGTTCAAAGGAGCGTTAAACCCAACTCACTCACCCACTCAATATAAGAATTTTCATGTAACGTTGTTAAAGTCTATATATTGATGTTTTTGCAATATATTTTTCGTTTTAAAGTTTTCTTATTTTATAAACATAGATAAAAGCGACAAAGCCCTTCCCATATTCATAAAAAAAGGTCTACCAAATGCAGAGTCGATTGTACGATTCCGACCCTATGACAGGATGAGGGATCACTAAAAACAGTGATGATAGTGTTGGCAAAAAGGCGAATGTATCTTGCCCCACTGGTGGTACCCGTCCCAAACACATACAGAATGATTAGAACGATAAGTGCAATTGCTGCTGGTTCTGAATACAATCGTCTGTCGTGCTTTCTGGGATGTTCTCTCATTTTTTCCGTACGTTCCTAGTCGGACTTTGTATATAGTTCAATTAGATCTCTGGATAGACTCGTGATAGTACTGGATGACAGTATTTAACCTTTGTGTTTTAAGCCTTCGTGCAATCGGAACCATGTCTTAGCAGTGGTGGCCCGGTGGAAGCGAGACGTAATTGTCACATGGAATCCAGGGACTATGAAGCGAAATGCCGGTAAGATTATGATTGAATAGTGGGGTTTCATGTAGATAGATTATAAAGTTCGGTGTTCGAATTTTGAAAGCGTGAGGTTGCTATCAGAAATATATGCATGTGGTCACCTGGATCTCTCTGAATAATTTGCGGATAAAAGATGTGAAGCTGTGAGTGAGTGAGTGAGTGAGTGAGTGAGTGAGTGAGTGAGTGAGTGAGTGAGTGAGTGAGTGAGTGAGTATGGTTTTACGCCTCTTTTAGCAATATTACAACAATATCACGGCGGGGGGCACCAGAAATGGGCTTCACACATTGTACCCGGGTCTTCGGCGTGACGAGCGAACGCTTTAACCACTAGGCTACCCGACCGCCCCTGAGAGTAAATGAGTTGAGTTACATGTTAAGTATTCATTGAACAAAAGTATTCTTTTATTAAGGGAGGTTCCCACTTCCTACAACAGGAAAAAGCGGGCGCCGCTGAAACGCTTACATCTTACTATTGACTCGGTTAGAATATGGGAATCGTTCCTTTAAAAATGGTTCTCGTGTTCGTACGCCAATGTGGCTTTGAACTTTTCTCGGAATGGCAAGAGTTGGTTATGAATGCGATACAATCCAATCTAATATAGCTTACAATCGTCCCGAGTCTTCAAGGATTGGTAAATTGCGTGTGGGTGAATGAATGTTGTTTATCCCCGCAATCAACAATACTCTCTCAGTGTGACAGCACCTTGTACATGATGGAGTTTTCGTAGTACTTATTCTGATTGTTAAAGTAGACGTTGTAATTTTTAGACGATTACTTATCCCCTTTTCAGTCAAGAACCTGTTTGCATTGAGAACAGCCTCAGCAACAGAACTGAGTGTTCAACCGACACAGCATCTCTACTTCGGGGCATGGCTGGCATTGAATACAGCGTCTTCATGGACGACTGTCGGTACCGAATGTAAGTTGCAACACAGCGGGAGTAACGACTGAAGCGGTCAGATGTGCAGTTATTACTTGTTAAGAGGCTAATCATCATGACGTACCTGAGTACCTCGTCTGTGGTCTAATGGACGGATCTAGCATCTGCCCAGAGAGCACAGGATCGGCGTTTCAATCCCTAGCCGCGTAATACAGCATCAAAAGATGCTTAGTGTCGTTGCCTGCCCGGTGCTGGCCTTAAGGGGATAAAACCAAACTGATCGGCTCGGATTTAATGACAGGGTATTCCTGTTGAATAATGACATGATGTTTCAGTGGATTAGCTCTACTGTAATTTGAATTAGTGTGAGCTGCACTCTGATTGGCTGTAAACATTCTTACCATGAATTGGATCCCCGAAACACCCTGGACGTTTCACTGTACACAGATTTGTTTTGTCTCAATATTATCGCAAGCACTACCCTAGTTAACATATAGACAAGCAACTCACCCCAGGCAATTTTTCTGTCATCTCATTATATTAAAGATGATAGCATATATTTAGAATACAACTCCAGAATATGACCCCAGACTTGACAATGGGCTCACTTAAAATATTATTACATTTTTGGTTAGTGCCGGTGTCACGAAATATATTCGCCCCCAGAATAAAATCTCCCCCCCCCCCCCCCGGCGAATTTATACCGGTACAGTTCCGCCCCTCTCGAAATAAACTCTCCCCCACCCTACGAAATAAAATCTCCCCCCCAGAATATTTCCTCCCCCGGTCGTTTTATAAATACTTGCCATGCAGTTCAATAGTTGCCAAACACTTCTGATAGAGACGATGTTGAGAATGTGGAGTGAAAAGGGCTTCACTTTGAGCACTGTGCTTTCTTTAACTACCGCAATATGATATGGAAGGTACAGTTACCAACAAAATATGCTGAAATATCAATTCATTATGACCATATTTCATAATCTATTTTTTAAAGTAACCCTCCTTACATTAAAGATAACTATTTAAAGAATATAGTACTTAAAGACATTGCAACAAACCGAATAATCAGGGGGGAGACTTTATACTGAGGGGGGTGCGAAATATATCCGCCCGGGGGAGATTTTTTTTCAGAACAGATTCTCCGGGGGAGAATCTGTACTGGTATAAAATCTCCGGGGGGAGAATTTGTACGGGGGAGAGCTTATACCGGGACACCGGTCCAGCTGCAATATTGCTGAGGCGGCGTTTGACTCGCTGACTCCGGTTACCTCCTCATCCCTGGTTATGCATCATGTGTTTGTTGCTTCACCAAGCAGTAAACGTTATCCCAAAAAGACCCGTGAAGATCCGGGGCCGAATAGGTCTTCAGCAACCCATGCTTGTCTTAAAAGGCGACTATGCTTCTCGTAAGAGGCGACTAACGAGATCGGGTTGTCTGGCTCGCTGACTTGGTTGATCTATGTCGTCGTACCCCAACTGCGTGGATCGATGCTCATGATGTCAATCACTGAATTGTCTGGTCCAGACTCGATTATTTACAGACCGCCGTCATATAGCTGGAATATTGCTGAGTGCGGTATCAAACAACAAACAAGCATGAAAAAAATCGAGTCTGGGCCAGGTAAACCAGTGGCTGGGGTACTATGGCACACTGACAAATAGACATACTACCAGAGCCCCGTTCCACAAAGCGATCTTAGCGCTACGATGATCGTAAACCTATGTTAGAGTATGGGACTTACGATCACCTTAGTGCTAAGATTGCTCTGTGGAACGGGGCTCTGGTCGCCATTAAATAACATCTGTGTTGTTGATGTGTTACCATTTTATCATTCCTTTACCTCCTAATAATTAAATGTATATTTTTTCGTTTTCAGATACTGAATAATGGCTGATGACTGTTTTCCGACAAAGGTTCTGATTCCCTGCGAAGCTGTCCGTACACTGTATGGTCTCGAATAACACGCGTCAGTCCAGAAGACGCGACACTGGTTATATCGCATGTTGTCTCTCTTTAATGGCGTTCTCTTTCTTTGATAAAATAAAAATGATGTTCCAACGTATGTTCCTTGGTTTGTCAGTGGAAAGTATCCATTACTATTTTACAATAGGGGCTGTCGGGTAGCCAAGTGGTTAAAGCGTTCGCTGGTCACGCCGAAGACCCGGGTTCCATTCCCGACATAGATACAATGTGTGAAGTCCATTTCTGGTGTCCCCCGCCGTGATATTGCTGGAATATTGCTAAAAGCGTCGTAAAACCATACTCACTCACTTCTACAATATTTGACTTGCTTCTTCATTACATGTTTACATTGAAATGGACCGCCTCCGTGGTCTAGTGGTAGAGCGTCCGCCCGGAGAGCGGAATGTCCGGGGTTCGATTCCCGGCCGCGTCATACCAAAAGACGTTAAAAGATGGTACTTGTTGTTACCCTGTCTGGCGCTCGGCATTAAGGGGCTAAAACAAGGACTGGTCGGCTCGGAGTCAGTATACTGTGTCTGAGTGGGGTATTCATGTTAAACTGCGGCATGGTATCTCAGTGAGCTAGCACTATAAATCGGCATCAGTCCGGACTAGTACAAGCAGGCACACAAACACACACACGTACATGTACATGCACGTCGCTATATAAGTGCAATAATCTTGGACGCGACGTTAAACCCCATTTCACCTCATCTCACATTGAAATGTTGGATAAATGTATATATTGATGGATTATTTCATGGTCTTTACTCTCGGCAAGTATAACAGATACAAAATTATTTCCTTTGTGTCGACACAGTTCTCTCTCCATGGCCTTCGACAAGCACAACGATGAGTTGATCAACTCTTTGTAACTGAACAGAGAATCACACTTCAGCAGATCTACAGGCGATGAGTTGGTCTACTCTTTATAACTGAACAGAGAATCACACTTCAGCAGATCTACAGGCGATGAGTTGATCAACTCTTTGTAACTGAACAGAGAATCACACTTCAGCAGATCTACAGGCGATGAGTTGATCAACTCTTTGTAACTGAACAGAGAATCACACTTCAGCAGATCTACAGGCGATGAGTTGATCAACTCTTTGTAACTGAACAGAGAATCACACTTCAGCAGATCTACAGGCGATGAGTTGATCAACTCTTTGTAACTGAACAGAGAATCACACTTCAGCAGATCTACAGGCGATGAGTTGATCAACTCTTTGTAACTGAACAGAGAATCACACTTCAACAGATCTACAGGCGATGAGTTGATCAACTCTTTGTAACTGAACAGAGAATCACACTTCAGCAGGTCTGCAGGCGATGAGTTGGTCTACTCTTTGAAACTGAACAGAGAATCACACTTCAGCAGGTCTGCAGGCGATGAGTTGGTCTACTCTTTATAACTGAACAGAGAATCACACTTCAGCAGATCTGCAGGCGATGAGTTGATCAACTGTTTGTAACTGAACAGAGAATCATACTTCAGCAGATCTACAGGCGATGAGTTGATCAACTCTTTGTAACTGAACAGAGAATCACACTTCAGCAGGTCTGCAGGCGATGAGTTGGTCTACTCTTTGAAACTGAACAGAGAATCACACTTCAGCAGGTCTGCAGGCGATGAGTTGGTCTACTCTTTATAACTGAACAGAGAATCACACTTCAGCAGATCTGCAGGCGATGAGTTGATCAACTGTTTGTAACTGAACAGAGAATCATACTTCAGCAGATCTACAGGCGATGAGTTGATCAACTCTTTGTAACTGAACAGAGAATCACACTTCAGCAGATCTACAGGCGATGAGTTGGTCTACTCTTTGAAGCTGAACAGAGAATCACACTTCAGCAGATCTGCGGGCGATGAGTTGATCAACTCTTTGTAACTGAACAGAGAATCACACTTCAGCAGATCTACAGGCGATGAGTTGATCAACTCTTTGTAACTGAACAGAGAATCACACTTTAGCAGATCTACAGGCGATGAGTTGATCAATTCTTTGTAACTGAACAGAGAATCACACTTCAGCAGATCTGCAGGCGATGAGTTGATTAACTCTTTGTAACTGAACAGAGAATCACACTTCAGCAGATCTACAGGCGATGAGTTGATCAACTCTTTGTAACTGAACAGAGAATCACACTTCAGCAGATCTACAGGCGATGAGTTGATCAACTCTTTGTAACTGAACAGAGAATCACACTTCAGCAGATCTACAGGCGATGAGTTGATCAACTCTTTGTAACTGAACAGAGAATCACACTTCAGCAGATCTACAGGCGATGAGTTGATCAACTCTTTGTAACTGAACAGAGAATCACACTTCAGCAGATCTACAGGCGATGCGTTGATCAACTCTTTGTTACTGAACAGAGAATCACACTTCAGTCAGCAGATCTGCAGGCGATGTGTTGATCAATTCTTTGTAACTGAACAGAGAATCACACTTCAGCAGATCTACAGGCGATGAGTTGATCAACTCTTTGTAACTGAACAGAGAATCACACTTCAGCAGATCTACAGGCGATGAGTTGATCAACTCTTTGTAACTGAACAGAGAATCACACTTCAGCAGATCTACAGGCGATGAGTTGATCAACTCTTTGTAACTGAACAGAGAATCACACTTCAACAGATCTGCAGGCGATGAGTTGATCAACTCTTTGTAACTGAACAGAGAATCACACTTCAGCAGATCTACAGGCGATGAGTTGATCAACTCTTTGTTACTGAACAGAGAATCACACTTCAGTCAGCAGATCTGCAGGCGATGAGTTGATCAATTCTTTGTAACTGAACAGAGAATCACACTTCAGCAGATCTACAGGCGATGAGTTGATCAACTCTTTGTAACTGAACAGAGAATCACACTTCAGCAGATCTACAGGCGATGAGTTGATCAACTCTTTGTAACTGAACAGAGAATCACACTTCAGCAGATCTACAGGCGATGAGTTGATCAACTCTTTGTAACTGAACAGAGAATCACACTTCAGCAGATCTACAGGCGATGAGTTGATCAACTCTTTGTAACTGAACAGAGAATCACACTTCAACAGATCTGCAGGCGCTGAGTTTGTCAACTCTTTGTAAATGAACAGAGAATAACACTGAAATACATTTAAGGGCCTTTTTTACTGCTGACAATTGATCTACTTTTGATCCCTTGATAAACATGTGGATGGGAACCCAACCCACTTGGTCATCGAGTCACGTATTCATATAACGCCATCAGCTACATGAAGCGAATCAGGTGTTCAGAACAAAGGTCACTCGTGCTTTGTTTGTTGCACTCAGCAGTATTGCAGCCATATGACGGCGGTGACTGATATCATGAGCATCGATCCACGCAATTGGGAAACGATGACATGCATCAACTAAGTCAGCGGGCCTGACTACACGATTCCGTTAGTCGCCTCTTTCAACAAGCATAGTCGCCTTTTGCGGCAAGCATGGGCTGCTGCAACCTATTCTACCCCGGATCTTCACGAGTCGAATGTGATGAAGATCATTTGTTTGTCATATGGTGGATAGTGTTATCGTTCCGATAAACATGGTTGTAAGATCCGATAATTGTCGCAAATGAACCCTTGAGGAAACTATTCAAATAATACATCGGCGCAATGTCCACTTGTCCAATTTACTACTGCCTGACGTTCCCAATATGTTCCCAATCATTATTATTTACAGATTAAAATAAAAAATGCAGCAAAGAGGGTTTGGGTGATCCTGGCATAGTCAGGCTCATCATCCGCTCAGGGCCCTTGCCCCATCTACACGCAGCCCAGACAGCGAATGGGACTTCTCCCAGGAAGCACTGCCTAGTCAAACCCACCCACAACTTTTCGGAGAATGTGAAGACTCCACTGCAGCCTTCTGCATTACCCAGAATAACAGAAGGTCTGTATTCCTGGTAGCAAACCCGTGAGGTCTCCCAATGTCAGTCAATAGATTGGGAGGTACCAAACCTAAGGCACCGAGAACAATGGGGAGTTGGACAACTTGGTACTTGGGATGCAAGCGTGACATTTCGAAAGCGAGGTCCGCATATTTGTCATGTTTTTCCTCAATCTTGTCAATCACATTGGTGTCATGATCAGAGGGGACAGAAAATTCAATGCTATAAATGATTTCATTGAAATTATCAAGATTTGCTATGGTTGAATCACTTGATGATTTTTGGTCTAGACCTTGGATGACTCTGGCAAAGTACCGTTGAACATTCTCTATCTGAATCGTATCTTTACCACGTATGCCGCTAAGCAGCTCACATGCATAGAAGCTGGTAGAGAGAACCATTCGGTGCCATATTTTAACACATACAATAGGGTGGAGATCATAGCTATTTAATCCTACAGATCTGAGTGAGTTTACTCTGCGCCTTGCGTTTTGGCAACATCGCACTATCATATTTGTACATGTCAGCTTAATGTTTAGAATGTGCGGCTGGGACGGGTAACTCGGGTCGGGTGGGTACTGAGTAGGACCCGGGTACCCACATGACTACCCGGACCCGTGGTTAGTCACGTGATTATATTGTTTAATGGCAAAAAGTATCTATGGTTACACTATAAGTGACAAATAGGTACATTTCTTTCCGACTATGCACACCTTCCTTCTGACTTTATATGTTTGCATGAAGATAAAACTTCAGTCAACTTCAGTATATGCATGATCAGATCGGTTTATAGTGTGTCTAAATACATTTTGACAGGAGTACGGTCAAATTTTCCCAATCGGACATTTTGTACCTATCTCTTGAGACCTACAGCGGGTACCCGGGTAGGGTCTGGTAATAGGGGGGTGGGTACCCGGGTAGTAAATGTGCACTCGTCCCATCCCTATAAGCATGACTCCCCCCCACATGTTACACAATCTGATGTTTTAAAAGGAACACTACCCAGTTCAAATTTGAAGGGATTATGTTGGAAATTCAATCTACTGAATATGGCTTGGGTTTGAGTGGCATTGTAAGCTAATCTCTATTTATAAGGGGGCGGTCGGGTAGCCTAGTGGTTAAAGCGTTCGCTCGTCACGCCGAAGACCCGGGTTCGATTCCCGACATGGGTACACTGTGTTTAGCCACTATTGGTGTCCCCCGCCGTGATATTGCTGGAATATTGCTAAAAGCGGCGTAAAACCATACTCACTGACTCCAATCATACTGTGTAACAGTGTTAAGAGCAACTTGTAGACCTGCAGGTGTGCTCTGAGTAATGCAGTGTCATCAACAAGCATAACAACTGAGACTTTTAGTCCCTATACAATAATACCCCAATCTGAGAATGACGTTATTAGATGGATGACGTTAGTAGAATCTCATCGTCGTGTCTTTTCATACACAATATACCAACACCCTTCGATACAGTTTAACTTAACATTTCCCAGCAAGCCTTTGAGTTGTAAACTTTTTAGCGATATGTTTTGACATATTTGACTTCAAAGAAACTCAGGTGAGATTGTTTATTTATAACGGAGAACAAATGTGTTATGGGTACCTTTCATTATCTACGCCACGTTTGATTAGGTCAATCTATTATTCATGGATAAATATATCATAAGTGTATTCGATTGGCAAATGCACTGTACCAAGTTATTAAGATGATCACGGTAGATCTTCATGAATGAATATGTGTAATTTCTGCAGGTTAACAATTAATTTACAAACCCACATGAACATATATATTACCATTTCATCTACCATCGAATACAGTCAAGTCCCGTTAATCCGACATGGTTGGTTGCATATGAGTATGTCGAATTAACGAGTATGTCGAGTGTACTTAGAGAGAGAGAAAAAGAGAGAGAGAGAGAGAGAGAGAGAGAGAGAGAGAGAGAGAGAGAGGGCGAGAGAGTTGTTTTATTAACGTGTCACGTGTTACAAAAGACAGATATATACAGTACATGTTCTTTGGCATATTAGGTAAGTACCCAGCAATTAGGCTTGTGAGACACAATAAAACATTATATACATTATATACTATAAAATACATTGACAATAAATTTTACATGTCTCGGTAAATGCTTAGCTAAATGATTGCTTACGTTTAAACGTCTTTAAAAGTGTACTGGCTAACAAAGGCTGAATTTCTTTACATTTTAAAATATAATTGAAAGCGTCACCAACGCTAATATTTTCAAATAACGGATTTAAAACAATACATTATCTAAGTAAAATACTTCTAAGATCATCATATAAAGGACATAACATTAAAAAGTGAAATTCATCTTCGACAAACTTTTGATGAACAAATTTAAAACAGTACACATATATTATTTGATTTGCAAGATGCACTTTACCATGTTATCACCACGATCGCTGTAATATATTGGTATATCTTGCCTCGAGAGGGCATAAAAAAGATGACGTCAGAAAGACCGATTTGTCCGGATCTTAATAAAGAACGTCTTGTTGTGACACGGCTCGGGTCGGATATCGTGTTCTGTTGACACAATGGCGCTGTTGTCTTTCGCGGGTATTCCTGTATATGGTATAGCCTCTTAAGCTATGCAACGATACTGTTTATTTATAGAGTGGGTCAAGTGTTCGCAAACAACGAACAACCAAGCGCTGTATAAAGAAACGACGTGGGAAGGCGACGCTAACAGCCACGATAAAACCGGCCGCTGTTCAAACCAGCAGTGAGCAATTTCCCTCGGCGGGACACTGGACTGCACCTGCACTTTGGCTGACTGAATGGACATGTTTGTGGCCGAATTAGCAATTATCTCCCATATTATTGCTCATTTCGGTTTTTTCACCACCTTAAATATCGGTTGATTGGACCAGCTTAAAGTTACTCCATTTCCGTGTGTGACATCGAAGTGTGATTATGTGAACATACCGATGGGGGTAAACGGAACAGCGCCATTCTGTTGTCCGGGAAGCTGTTCTTTGTGGACGAATCACGCGCTATCGGAGTCTTTTCATCTGCCATGCTGGAATACATAATCGGGGTAAGGGTAACACCTAATGATCAAGGAATTAAAGGTCAGGCAATATGTCACCACACGTTATTGCTAATGTGTAACAGCTGAGCCCGAGACCATTTTCCGTGGGACGGGGACCGACTCCGTGGTCTAGTGGTAGAGCGTCCGCCCGGAGAGCGGAAGGTCCGGGGTTCGATCCCCGGCCGCGTCATACCAAAAGACGTTTAAAGATGGTACTTGTTGTTACCCTGTCTGGCGCTCGGCATTAAGGGACTAAAACAAGGACTGGTCGGCTCGGGGTCAGTATACTGTGTCTGAGTGGGGTATTCATGTTAAACTGCGGCATGGTATCTCAGTTCGGACTAGTACAAGCAGACACACACGTACATGCACGTCGCTATATAAGTGCAATAATCTTGGACGCGACGTTAAACCCCATTTCACCTCACCTCACCTCACCGTGGGACGGGCCTCAGCAGGAAATTATTATTAACGAGCATTGCCGCGCCTTGGGTCTTATTGATACATTTGGACTTCCGGCTGCTTTTGTCTTGGCAGCGGTCAAGATGCACGACAATTGCGCAGATGCTCTTACCTGAGGACTTCCGTAGTCCAGTAAACAATCTTACGCAATGCTTGAATGCTGAGAGTTAATTCCCTTCGCCTCCCCGGTCGGGTGGCCTAATGATTAAAGCGTTCCCGTGTCACGCCGAAGACCCGGGTTCGATTCCCGACATGGGTACAATGTGTGAAGGCCATTTCTGGTGTCCCCCCGCAGTAATATTGCTGGAATGCTGCTAAAAGCGGCGTGAAACCATACTCACTCACTCACTCAAGCGCACATACTGACATTACACTGATAGTTCAGTATAGGGTAAAGCACAGACAAAAACTACATCATATCGCTCTAGGGACGAAAAGAAGATCGATACTTAGGAAACTTGGTCAATGAAAATGTGAAAATTGCGACAATACATCACTAGATGTGATGTGATTCATCATTTCATTTATTATCCCTCGGGGATATAGAAACGGGCTCCGTCCGTCCGTCCGTCCGTCACGTTTCGTTTCCGAAGCATAACTCATAAACCGTTCAATATTTTTTCATTAAACTTTGCAGGTCTGTCAGGTACATACTGAACTGGTGCCTTTTGCAATTGAGAGATTTTAGAAATTTTTATTTTTTACGTTTCCATGGCAACAAGATGGACTTAGGTTCTGTGAGGGTAGGGTTCGTTTCCGGAGCATAACTCATCAACCGTTCAATATTTTTTCATCAAACTTTGCAGGTCTGTCAGGTACATGCTGAACTGGTGCCTTTTGCTACTGAGAGATTTTAGAAATTTTTATTTTTTACGTTTCCATGGCAACAAGGTGGACTTAGGTTCTGTGAGGGTAGGGTTCGTTTCCGGAGCATAACTCATAAACCGGTCAATATTTTTTCACCAAACTGTGCAGGTCTGTCAGGTACATGCTGAACTGGTGCCTTTTGCTATTGAGAGATTTTAGAAATTTTTATTTTTTACGTTTCCTTGGCAACAAGATGGACTTAGGTTCCAAACTCATTTTTTCTTTACAATTTCCATGACAAGTTCCACCTCGGTTAAAAAAGGTAAGGGTTTGTTTAGATTTAATTATGTCATAAATTCTGCAACAGGGGCGGGGGATATAGCCACGTTAGTGGCAAACTCTTGTATTTCCTGTTTTGCAAAGCATTGTTTTCTATGGAGAGATTAAGACAACCGTGTGGATTTGTGTCGCATACTAAGCCCGAAATGCAGTGGTCAGAAGAAATTGTAACTGAAACTATCATATTTCCAACTATGGTATATTCCATGATCGGGTAATTATTCTGCAGCTTTATAAAATAATAATATAAATTATTAATAATAACCTTAGGTGAGCACTTTGATACACAGCCGGAATTTGGTCTAAGGCTGAGTATGGAGACTGATACACGCTTGTATTGTGACTTGCGTACAACTCAATAGAAATAAAAGAACACCTGGTGTTTTTACATAAGTATAGTTAATATGCCAAGACAGGACATGATAACTATAGTCATGAAAAATGCGGGTGTCCTATAACTTGTATTGAGTGGTATGTATGAGAACATAACAATGCCGGTATCTTGCTTCTCAATGTGTGTTTGATTAATCATTACGACCGAGTTTCTGATGTTTACCATTCATTGTAGCGATATTCAATATATTTCATAGAGTTTTTTACTTGATACACCTGTTTGTCTTCAGCAATCCGTGCTACTAACGGGATCGGATGGCCAGGCTCGCTGACTTGGTTCATGTATGTCATCGTATGCAAATTGCGTAGATACTCATGATGTCAATCACTGGATTGTCTGATCCAGCCTCGACTATTTCTAGTTCGCCGTCATATGGCTGAGATATTCCTGAGTGCTGCGCTAAACAACAAACAAACAAACCGGCTGTCTGGAGCATTTGTGTTGGATGATTGATTGAGATATAAACATTTGACGAAACTTCACCCCATTTAAGAGAACAGCGTTTATTATGAGCGCACCTTCCCTGACGCTTACATGCAGTGTATATTGGTATCGAATTATATGGATTTCTATACAGGTGGTCGGGACCGGACAACGAGTTCGACATAAGGGATCTCCAGATAACGGGTCCGACTGTATAACGTCACTGTCGTACACCAGGTGTTCACATAACGTAGAAGTGAAGGTAACATGTGTTCCCAGTTACGAGGGGTGTTCATTAAAGATTTCCCCTGACCCACTTCCGATGGGCCTAGTGGAATGAAACCTGGCATAGGTATTAGTCTTTCTCCACATAGGAACCACCAAGAGTTACACACTTCTCCCATCGTTTTATGCAACTATGGAGACCTCGCTTGTAAAAGCCCTCATGTTGCGTCTCAAACCAGGACTTGACTTCAGAAATCAGTGTTTCATCATCTGTGAAACGTTTTCCCTTCAAAAATGACTTCATGGTTGGAAAGAGGTTGAAGTCAGATGGTGCAAGGTCAGGAGAGTAAGGAGGATGTGGAAGGATTTCATAGCCACAGGACCGCGCTTCTTTCTGGGCAACATGAGAGTTGTGTACTGGAGCATTGTCTTGCAGGAGACGGACATCCTTGGTCAGCATGCCACGCCTCTTAAGCTTGATAGCGTCCCGCAATTTCCGCAGCAGTGAAGCATAATAAGCTCCTGTAATTGTGGTACCCTTTGCCAAGAAATCCATCATCACTACTCCGTGCTGGTCCCAAAACACCGTGAGCATGACCTTGCCTGCAGAGGGTTGGACACGTGCCTTCTTTGGGGGTGGTAACTCCACATGCTTCCATTGCATCGACTGAACTTTAGTCTCAGGATCAAAGTGATTGACCCATGTTTCATCCTGTGTGATAAGTCTGTCAAAAACATTTGCCTGTTTTCTTTGGCACATGTCCAAAAGATCCTTGGAGCAATTGACTCGTTCCTGCTTTTGGAAAGGTGTGAGAGCAACCTGGGAATCCATCGTGCAGACACCTTATGCATGTTCAAATTGTCATCGATGATTTTTTTCCACAGACCCTACACTGATCTTGAAATCTTGTGCTAACTGGCGAACAGTTATACGTCGGTCTGCCAAAATGGCGGTCTCCACTTGATGGATACTGTCCTCATCAATGGCTGAATGGGGGCGACCAGGAATGGCAGCTGTTTCCACAGATGTCCGACCACACTTGAACTGGCGATGCCAGTGATTAACAACGTCATACGATGGGGTATCTTTCCCATAAGTTGCTTTCATTTCATCGAAAGTTTCTTTTGGTGTGCGACCTTTCGAATATAAAAACCTAATCACTGCTCGGTATTCTACTGGCTCCATTGTCACACCCTACTCGATCATAACACCTGTAAAAGTGGTAAGATTAATAGTTCGGTGCTGCAAATTCAGACATAACCCATTATGGATACATGTATCATTACACATGTGAAATTTCAACCAAGTATGATAACCCTAAGTGGTTTAGGAGAAATCCTTGATGAACACCCCTCGTATGTTGGGACGACTGTATCATTGCACACACATGGTGACGACCTGTGACTGTAACGTTGTATAGGTACTTATGATACATAGTGTGTACGTGACCAGAGATGGGAGATTAGAATATAGAGTTAATGTGCATCTGTTGTCTGGTACCTGGTTCTCACAGCTTTGTAAAACATCACTGAATCCACCATGCGTTTTCAGTATTGTCAAGATACAAGGATGCCACCCGTTGTTCGCTACATTGTCTAGAAACACATGTAAGTTTAGTTGTTTGCAACATCGCACAAGTACAGAGATGCCTTCAGTTGTTTGATGGATTGAATGGCAATATAGATGCCATCCGTTGTTTGCAACGCCGTACAGATGCCTTCAGCTGTTTGCAACATTGTGGAGCCACATAGAAGCATGTTCTTGTTTGCAACGTTGTATAGCTACACAGACGCCGCCAGTTGTTTGCAACGTTGTTTAGTTACACAGACGCCGCCAATTGTTTGCAACGCTGTACAGCTACACAGACGCCGCCAATTGTTTGCAACGTTGTATAGCTACACAGACGCCGCCAGTTGTTTGGCCACGTTGTATAGCTACTCAGACGCCGCCAATTGTTTGCAACTTTGTATAGCTACACAGACGCCGCCAGTTGTTTGCAACGTTGTATAGCTACACAGACGCCGCCAGTTGTTTGCAACGTTGTATAGCTACGTACATTTCCCATGTTGTTTGCAACGTTGTATAGCTACACAGACACCGCCAGTTGTTTGCAACTTTTTAGAGCTACACAGGCGCCGCCAGTTGTTTGCAACTTTGTATAGTTACACAGACGCCGCCAATTGTTTGCAACGTTGTACAGCTACACAGACGCCGCCAGTTGTTTGCAACGTTGTATAGCTACACAGACGGCGCCAGTTGTTTGCAACGTTGTTTAGTTACACAGACGCCGCCAATTGTTTGCAACGCTGTACAGCTACACAGACGCCGCCAATTGTTTGCAACGTTGTATAGCTACACAGACGCCGCCAGTTGTTTGCAACGTTGTATAGCTACACAGACGCCGCCAATTGTTTGCAACGCTGTACAGCTACACAGACGCCGCCAATTGTTTGCAACGTTGTATAGCTACACAGACGCCTCCAGTTGTTTGCAACGTTGTATAGCTACACAGACGCCGCCAATTGTTTGCAACGCTGTACAGCTACACAGACGCCGCCAATTGTTTGCAACGTTGTATAGCTACACAGACGCCGCCAGTTGTTTGCAACGTTGTATAGCTACACAGACGCCGCCAATTGTTTGCAACGCTGTACAGCTACACAGACGCCGCCAATTGTTTGCAACGTTGTATAGCTACACAGACGCCTCCAGTTGTTTGCAACGTTGTATAGCTACACAGACGCCGCCAATTGTTTGCAACGCTGTACAGCTACACAGACGCCGCCAATTGTTTGCAACGTTGTATAGCTACACAGACGCCTCCAGTTGTTTGCAACGTTGTATAGCTACACAGACGCCGCCAATTGTTTGCAACGCTGTACAGCTACACAGACGCCGCCAATTGTTTGCAACGTTGTATAGCTACACAGACGCCGCCAGTTGTTTGCAACGTTGTTTAGCTACACTGACACCACCAGTTGTTTGCAACGTTGTATAGCTACACAGACGCCGCCAATTGTTTGCAACGTTGTATAGCTACACTGACACCACCAGTTGTTTGGCCACGTTGTATAGCTACACAGACGCCGCCAGTTGTTTGCAACGTTGTATAGCTACACAGACGCCGCCAATTGTTTGCAACGTTGTATAGCTACACAGACGCCGCCAGTTGTTTGCAACGTTGTATAGCTACACAGACGCCGCCAGTTGTTTGGCTACGTTGTATAGCTACATACATTTCCCATGTTGTTTGCAACGTTGTATAGCTACACAGACACCGCCAGTTGTTTTCAACTTTTTAGAGCTACACAGACGCCGCCAGTTGTTTGCAACTTTGTATAGTTACACAGACGCCGCCAATTGTTTGCAACGTTGTACAGCTACACAGACGCCGCCAGTTGTTTGCAACGTTGTATAGCTACACAGACGGCGCCAGTTGTTTGCAACGTTGTATAGCTACATACACGCCACCAGTTGTTTGCAACGTTGTATAGCTACACAGACGGCGCCAGTTGTTTGCAACGTTGTATAGCTACATACATTTCCCATGTTGTTTGCAACATTGTATAGCTACACAGACACCGCCAGTTGTTTGCAACTTTGTATAGCTACACAGACACCGCCAGTTGTTTGCAACTTTGTATAGCTACTCAGACACCGCCAGTTGTTTGCAAAGTTGTATAGCTACACAGTCGGCGCCAGTTGTTTGCATCATTGTATAGCTACAAACATGCCTCCAGGTACATTATGCATTATCAAGATGACTTAAGTGGCTTAAAGTTTGAACATTTAACAGTGAAACTTGATGTTTGCGCTATTATACTAATACAATCATGACGCCAAGTGCAACGTTGTAGCTCGCTCTAACATCATGGTAACATAACACATACATATTTTGTTACCTATATTCTAGAATCAATAGATAAACAGATTAAAGTAGATGTCCCTTTTGTGGCTAAGTCGTGGATTCAAGTGAACCGTTCAGTTTGAATGTGGATATGCCATTCATGCGCATTTTTATCTCCGCTGGTAGTGGGGATGTCTTGACCCCATGTAAATGGCTCTGATGTGTTTGAGGTTTAGGTATTGTGTTTAGGTTCCCCAAGTGAAAAGGTCATCAGCAGTAATATGAGCATATGCGTCAATAATGAGACAAGCATATTCATGGACAGTGATCAATGCACCATGTGTGAACAAAGTAAACAAATTGCACAACAGTGACTGAAGGGCAATGTTGTATCCATGTACAATGTATTTCTTAGAAGTTTGACAATATTATGTCTTATTTAGCTATTGTAGCATGTATGAAGAGTATGTTCGCTATATCTAATGGCATATTTCAGAGGCCAGTTTGAATATTTCGTCGCTGACCTCTTCATGGTCATACAACGTCCACTTTGTGTGTTATTCATGGAATGATTTTGCTGGGGACAGGACACGAAACTGAACAGAGTTGTTTTGGAGAGAGTATGCAATCTGGTGATTACGTACGTCTAGGGCGTCTACAGCAGGTGTGGAATGCAAATAAAGATAACGCATGACTGACCTATTTACGCGGTTTTCGTTGTTGGTTTGCAATAGAACAAGGTATACACCATTATTCACTTTTGTCATTTCTGTTGGATGACTGATTGAGTTCCATACAGGTGTTTGACGAAAGTTCTCTCCATTTAAGTGGACAGCGTATATCATGAGCGTACCTTCACAACAGGTTATGATCTCAGAGGGGGCACGGGTGGCCGAGTCGTCTTAGGCGCCGCGATATAACTGGTATACTGTTAACAGGGGGTAAACCCCAACTCACTCACTCACTCACTCACTCACTCACTCACTATGATCTCAGAGGGGGCACGGGTGGCCCAGTCGTCTTAGGCGCCGCGATATAACTGGTATACTGTTAACAGGGGGTAAACCCCAACTCACTCACTCACTCACTCACTCACTCACTATGATCTCAGAGGGGGCACGGGTGGCCGAGTCGTCTTAATTAGGCGCCGCGATATAACTGGTATACTGTTAACAGCGGCGTTAACCCCAACTCACTCACTCACTCACTCACTCACTCACTCACTCACTCACTCACTCACTCACTCACTCACTCACTCACTCACTCACTCACTCACTCACCCTGGTATCTACAACCTAGCGGAAGCCTGTTGTAACTTGGAGATATCAGGACGATCGATGTATCGAGGCATGGACAGCCGGACAGATCAAGTAACAGCATTATAGATCCATAGCAATGACATTGCATGCGTTAGAAACCAAACACGCACCGCGTGCATGCAATGACAAAAAGAATTGTATTTCGAAGGCAAAAAGCAATAACAGCTGTGACAGATTATGTACAATGTTCACGTCGGCTTGGTGAGACAACGAGTACACAATGTTGTAATCAGCTGACAATGCATCCGTCCTGACAAAGGGAATGTGTTGTTCAATGTTTAACGACCCAACAGACATCCCAGTAATTCACAGTTTGATTACAAGAATCAAATTATGTTGTGCAAACGCGTGTATATCGTTCACATTATCTGATTATTGATATTGGTTGAACAATTAGTTAAATTTGCAATGTGCGTTTACAGCGATGGTAGATGTGAAATGCCTTTTTACGCTTCTCAAAACTGTGAATGTGGCAAACGCCAACTCCGAGATAAATGTACAAAAATCAAGTACAAATAAGTCAAAGGATCGAGATATACACTGACGGTAATAGTCAAATGTTCTTACTTGGTGAATTTCACTCTCCACTCTGACACCAACTTGTTAGGATATTTTACTAACCAGTTCGTAAATATTTGCTTCTTAGACCACTATAGGTCGTCTAGTAGACTAGTACAATCTACTGATCAGTTAGTAGATGTTATTTTCCTTCTTTCAAAGAATCTGCTTCTCATACTTTACTAACCGCAATATTACTAAGCTTGTAGTAAGTTTTCACTTCACTTTAATAACGTGTCGTTTCTTAGTCATTTTGCGATCCCTGTTGCCCGCTGCTAAATTATATTAGTAAAAGAGACCGAGTGAATAACATTAATGTTGCGGGTGAAAGATCACACATAGGGTTTTTTAGGGGCATTTGAAGACTTAGTTTATTTACACAAGACTACGAAAATGTAATTGGCGGGTGAATAAGAAACACAACTATTGTTTTACACTGGCAAACGTACCAAACCTTCATTGAGTACATGCTATAAAGTCCCAAATTTTGCCAGTCATGTAACAAATTACATTGACATTGTTGTTGCTGTACGTTTCAACATATTTTTCATGTTTGCTGCAAACGAGGTGTTAATCTATAATCACGTGTAGAAATCTTGCGGATTTTTCGAATTTATAGAATTGCTTTTTATGGAGAGACAAGGTATCATAACATCTTTCCCCCAGCATTTGAGTAGCACTCCAACACTATTTTGCACTTGAAAGGGTGAACCCCCTTTCATTGCACCATTAATCTACTCCAACAAGGGCTCACTGGATTTTTTTTCGGATTTGTGAAAATTCTGTGTTTTACCCATGTAGCTCCGTCATCACCGCATTTAGAAGTTTGGGAAGGGGAGATGGCATGATCAAAAAGATCATTGATCACGGGTTTGGCTTAGGTATTGTCTGTTTAATTTGTCTTTTCTTATTTCAGTTTCCAGCCTTAGTATGTGATCTAGACATGAGTGTCCCTCCTGAAATCGCTTTGATCAGGTTTGATGTTGTTGCCTTTTTGTAACCATGGCTTCCATAGCTTTGCACAAGTGAGTGATATAGGTCAATATGTGTTTGGTTGGGCTTCGTCTTTACCTTGTTTTAGAAGCGGGATAACTTCAGCTTGTTTCCATGCTTTTGGGACTTCTCCTTAGGACCATATTGTGTTGTACAACTCAGTGAGTAAGTTTTTGGTTTGATGAGGTAGGTTTTTCAATATACCTTAACTGGTTGTATCAGGACCAGGGGCAGTGCCTTGCCTATGTTGTATTGCATCCTCAAACTCTGTCACAGTAAATGTTATACTGTATACCAGACGTTTGCTCTGCGGCTGTTTTGACATCTTGGGCACTAGCATTTTTTATCCTTTTGGAATTCTTTCCTGCAATCTGTGTTGCTGCTGACAGATGAGAAGTGCTGAGATAGAATGTTGGCCTTTTCGTTGACTGTACGGGCGTTGGCTATCTTGAGAATTTCTGTTGGCTTACGCTTACCCCTGATTGCCTGTATTTTGCTCCAGCATTTATTTTATTTCATTTAGAGAGTTGCAGAAGGTCTGCCATGACTACCCTTAAGAATCGTCTATGAGGTGTCCTAGTTTTGTCCAGACTGCTCGGACTTGTGCGAATGATGATTTATCCCTTTTTGACCTATTTAGGGCTTTCTTGCTCACTCTCCTAGCTTTTGCTATGTCCATGTTCCACCGTGATATCGTAGTTTGGCCGGTTTTGTGGTGGTATTTGTATTGATTTTCAGCTGCGGAAATAATTGCTGAGGTGAGTTTTTGGCGAAAAAGATCAGGATTATTTTTAAGCAACCCTCCCTGAATTTGAGCCAATCAGCCCTTGTCCAGTCCCGCCTAGGATTGAGCTGCTCCTTTAATTGTTTTGGGTTACCTATGTAGGTGAGTGTGGGAAGGTGGTCGCTTCCCCAAGTGTCATCATGGACTTGCAATTGGCAATGTGAGGCGAGGTTCTTTGTGGCAGTTGTGAGGTCATTTGAACTCTTGGTGTCGCGGACATGGTCATCGTGTGTGTGACTGTCGTTGTTTAGAGTTAGGAGACTGTCGTCCTCAAACCGAATTGTTCCTATCTTCCCATAAAGAATTGTGTGCATTATAGTCACCAAGGATTATGTCATTGTTGCCTACTGTTTGAGCTTCGTCAGCTCTCCCGTCTGTGGTTCATGGGTAACCCTGTGGTATATGTAAGCTTTGCGTAATTCATTGCCATTTGCCAGTTTTCAGGGGAAGTTTGGGGTTTCAAGGTTTCTTACATTTTGTTTCAGTATTGATGGAGGTACAGTTGGGGACAAGGGTGATAAGTCCTCCTCCCTATTTGCCAGGCTTAATATGTTTTTCTGTATTTTTTCCTATATTGATTGTAAGCAGGGAACGTGACTTTTTCGCTGACTTTAGTCTCCTGTTTTCCACGAGTGCTTAATGTAATTTGTCATGGCTCTTAAGGCCGTTAGCGGCTCACTGTAATTAATTCAAGTCCATGATTGTCTTGATGAGTGTTTATCAAGGGCATACCCTATTTTGAAATTGTTTCTCTGTATTTCAGTATCTTGAAAGCCAGATTGAGGATGCAGGTTGCTTTGGCTTTGACCCTCATTTTCCTGCCTATAATTGTGATCAATGCAATGGCATTGAACTTTACCATGAAGACCGCCACCGTGGTCTAGTGTTAGAGCGTCCGCGGCAGTTTCGGGGTTTGATCCCCGGCCGCGTCATACCAAAAGACGTTAAAAGATGGTACTTGTTACCCTGTCTGGTCCTGGGCATTAAGGGGCTAAAACAAGGACTGGTCGGCTCTGAGTCAGTATACTGTGTCTGAGTGGGGTATTCATGGTAAATTGCAGCATAGTGTCTCAGTGTAATAACACTTTAAATCGGCATCTGCCAGGACTAGTACAATCAGCCACACACACGCCCACACGTGCATGCACGTCGCTTTATAAGGATCAGTGCTCTTAGATTCGCTTGTGTTCTAGGAGAGTAAAGAGTAGTCGCTTGGGATTTTTCGACCTTTTCAACCTGCACATATTTTGATTCAGATTGCTGAGTAGGCGATTTATTTATGCATTTCCTTATGAGCAAGCGCTTTTGACATTTTAGCGCTAAAGATGAGCGACCCTCCTTTTTGCAGTTTTTACTCCAAGTGTTTCAGTTTTCTTTGCAAGAAACTCGGGAGCAATTTTTGGACGTGGTGGCTGGTTCATAGAACATACAGTTTGTGCATTGTGTCAGCCTTTTCCTATATGGCATAGTTTCTATGTTCGTACCGCAAAGATTGCGGTGGCAGGGGACTGACTGTCCTAATGACGTGAGTATTACTACTCGTGTGTTGGTGGTGCCCATCGATTTCACCCTGAACGCCGACAGGATTGTTTATTGGTTGATTTTATTGGTTACTTCCCACGACGTAGACCTTCCAAGGGGTGTAAAAACAATGTGTCTGGACTGCAGGGGAATGTGTTCAATGACTAGTGATCTCAGCCAATAGGCAGCAAGTGTGATTACAAGCACTAGGCTGATTTTAAAAAGCGAAGTGATAGAAAAATGAAATAAGTAACTGATGAAAGGAATTTTACCGGAGGCAAAAAGGTCTGTTTCGTGAAATACCTCATTTTATTTTGGGCTTGACAGACATGTTGATAGAGATTGTCTGCAGCGACATTTTGTCGATGTGTACACCACACATGACATGACAAAGGTCCGCCTCCGTGGTCTAGTGGCAGAGCATCCACCCGGAGAGCGGAAGGTCCGGGGTTCGATCCCCAGCCGCGTCATACCAAAAGACGTTAAAAGATGGTACTTGTTGTTACCCTGTCTGGCGCTTGGCATTAAGGGGCTAAAACAAGGACTGGTCGGGTCGGAGTCAGTATACTGTGGCTGAGTTGGATATTCATGTTAAACTGCGGCATGGTATCTCAGTGAGCTAGCACTATGAATCGGCATCAGTCCGGACTAGTACAAGCAGCCACACACACACACACACACGTACATGCACGTCGCTATATAAATGCAATAATCTTGGACGCGACGTTAAACCCCATTTCACCTCACCTCACCTCACCTCACCTCACATGACAAAGCCACCTTGGGGTATCCCATTTTAGTTTGATTTCGTTAATGCTTTGGGGCATGTCAATTGATTCTGTAAGGTAGTCCCCGACGACAACGTAGCCTCTTCCACACTTATTTATTTTAATAATACTTTCATACTTTTGTGCTTCACATCTTTGGCAATATCCTAAGCTGTTAGGGTTTTATTAAGATCTAGGAAATGGTCTGCGCGAACGGCTACTTCTTCCGATTTGTTTTGTGATCGTTTATTCTGTTGTGTCTTCGATTCTGATAAAACCGTTCTTGGTCTTTTCTGTTTGATTTTGAACAGTTGTTGAGGCAGTTTACGTTTAAGCATGCCTTGAGGCCAGAGGGCACTATAATCGATTTTGACTTTGTTTTTAGTCCCGGAGAACGTAAGTGTGTCCTGGAAACGGCCAGATACATTGAGTGCAGCTTGACTATTGGTTTACACATATTTATGTTCACAAAAATGTGAATATGGTATAGTAAACAAGCGAAGAGCTTATGTAAATACCGCTACATAACACATAAGACATGATATAATAAAAACATCAATGAAGGTTAGATGTAACAAAAGAAGTGTACATGCCAAGCTAGATGTGTATATAAAATAAATGTATTTGCAGTTTATATTAAACAATTCATTTAATTGAAAATCTGCCAGTTATTAATATGAAGTTTTGAATAGAATCTAATGTTTGAATTTCCTCTTCCTTACTCAAATACGAATTTCGGCATAGCACTGATTGTAAAGAGTAACCATGTTGGTAAAAAGACATTTCATTTCGAATAGTAATTTGTACACACTAAAAGAAGTGTAGAGCATCTTCGGTATGATATCTACAGGAACAAGTTTTTGTATCCAAACTATATCTGTCATATTGACCTGCGTTAAGATTGCTGAAGCCAATCCTGAGGAGTCTGTGAATAATTTGACATAAGCTGTTTCCATAATTTAAATCCCAGTGTAGACCATTATCTCCCCTTACGTGAAGCATTCGTCATTATGGCTTTTTATGGACACATATTCTCGTCAAATGTTAATCTAACTGCTTTAAATATGAACGTTGTTATAGTAACTTGCTCTACATCAACACTATCTACAGTTTTTTAGCTTATAGGGATTATAGGGACTCCATTAATATTAAGGCATGGAGAGTTACTAAGATATTCCCCTCTACACAGGTTACCCCTTCTCACCGCCGCTGCCTCATGCAATCTACCAGAGAGGATAGTGAATTCACTGTTTATGAACCTTCTGGCCACTGTTACTAATTACGTAAGTAGAATTCACTTGATTGTTTTCTTAGTGTATATTTGTATCTCAAATTAGAGATAAGCGGTCTAACTTATACACAGAATCGGACAATGAGTTCGAGATAACGGATCTTGAGATAACGGGGACCGACTATACAACGTCACTGTCCTATACCTCCCCCACCTCCCCCACCGTATCCTCCCCCACCAATGGCACCCGTCACAAACACATGCAAAGGCAGGTCAAAGAACATAATTGAATTTACCAGGTGTTTGCAACGATGAATAGCTACATAGACTACACCATTTTTTTGCAGCGTTGTATACCTACATAGATGTCTCAAGTTGATTGTGTCGTTACATGGACGCCGCAAGTTGTTTGCAACGCTGTACAGCTACACAGATGACACCAGCTTTTTGCAACGTTGTATATATACATAGACGCCACCAGTTGTTTAACAACGTTGTATATATACATAAACGCCGCAAGTTGTTTGCAACGTTGTATAGCGGCATAAACGCCACCAGTTGTTTGCAGCGTTGTATAGCTACACAGAGTCACCATTTGTTTGCAACGTTGTATAGCTACACATACACCACCAGTTGTTTGCAACGTTGTATGGCTACACTGACACCGCCAGTTGTTTGCAACGTTGTATAGCTACACAGACGCCGCCAGTTGTTTGGCAACGTTGTAGAGCTACATACACGCCGCCAGTTGTTTGCAACGTTGTATAGCTACACAGACGCCGCCAGTTGTTTGGCAACGTCGTAGAGCTACATACACGCCGCCAGTTGTTTGCAACGTTGTATAGCTACACAGACGCCGCCAGTTGTTTGGCAACGTCGTAGAGCTACATACACGCCGCCAGTTGTTTGCAACGTTGTATAGCTACACAGACGCCGCCAGTTGTTTGCAACGTTGTAGAGCTACATACACGCCGCCAGTTGTTTGCAACGTTGTATAGCTACACAGACGCCGCCAGTTGTTTGGCAACGTTGTACTTATACATACACGCCGCCAGTTGTTTGCAACGTTGTATAGCTACACAGACGCCGCCAGTTGTTTGGCAACGTTGTAGAGCTACATACACGCCGCCAGTTGTTTGCAACGTTGTATAGCTACACAGACGCCGCCAGTTGTTTGCAACGTTGAAAAGCTGCACAGACGCCACCAGTTGTTGCAATGATTCATGGCAACACTGATGCCTCGAGGTGGATATTTTAAACATTAAGCATTATGAAGATAACACCAAGTGTTCGCAACGTTGTTCATTGAGAGGAGAAACTTGGCTATAGTACGGTTACACACATGAAACCTGGGTTTTGCAACTTTGTATATATGGAGAACTGTCCGGTCATCACTTAAATATGCATACTTGTAAAACACCCGAAGCTCGCACTAAAATCATGGTAACATTATACATAAATAGTTCACCGAGATATAAATAGATACATACACAACAGTAATTATCCAAATTGTGACAGTACACAATTTATGATTAAATACTTCATATTTATATATTAATTGTTATGTATATATATGCCATATATTTCTTTTAAGTCTTTCTACAATAACTAATATTGAAAGGTCACTTTAGTTATCCATCATGCCAAAGGCCAAGCTGACGATAGTTCACCTCGCAGCTGAAGTTGGGTTTAACGTCGCGTCAAAAATTATTGCACTTATATAGCGACGTGCATGCACGTGGTTGTGTGTGACTGCTTGCGCTAGTCCGGACTGATGCCGCGTTTATAGTGCTGGTCCACTGAGATACTAATATGAATTATAGTTTAACATGAATTACCCACTCAGACCCAGACAGGGTAACAAGAAGTACCATCTTTTAACGTGTTTTGGTATGACGTGGCCGGGGATCGAACCCCGGACCCTCCGCTCTCTGGGCGGACGCTCTAACACTAGACCACGGAGGCTGTCCGAATACTAGTATGTAAGTGAATTAGATGTGTTGACATTAATAGTTGTGCATTTATTGCACTCATGAGCTATACAGCTAATAGAGAACTAATACAATATTTGACTACAAGGCAAAATATCTATGTTATCTACATGCCTGCCTTTGAAGTATATTGATATTTGATTAAGGTAGATTGTCGAATTGTTCCTGAATAATTATTATCCAATGTTATGCTGAAAGAGTATATAACATTTATAAATACAAAATTCTATCACTGAAATGATATTTTCCCCATCAAAATGTGTATGTCCGGTTATTGTTGGATTATTTATTTATAACGCACTGAACCTCACAATGAATACTCAAACATCTCTTTGACTGATCGCTGACTCACGGAATTCTCGCTTCTATTTTGGAGTAAACGTTATAACTTGTTATCCAACAAGATTCAGGATAACATATGTAAGCAAACAGATCAGTTTGGAGGCGGACATTTCAGTCTTCCCCACATCTTTATTTACACTGCTAGTCGAGATATCTTGTCCACGTGTAAATGTCCCTGATGTGTGTCAAAGGTATTGTGTTTAGGTTCACGAAGTGGAAAGGTCTCCAGCAGTAACATGTGCGTAAATATTCATGAACAGGAATACACCTGTAAACTAAGTAAACAAAACTGCACAACAAGGGCAATGTTGTATCCATGTACAATGTATTGGTTGCAAGTTGGACAATATTTTCTTTTTCATAATGTATGAAAAAAACGTTCACTTTATTCTTTGGTACATTTTCAGGGGCCAGTTTGAGATTTGGGTCAACGACCCCTTTGCACAGCGTCCGCTTTGGGCATTATTCATGGAATGTTTCCGCTGAGGCACGAGTCTTCCTTGCGAGATGACACACTCTGGTGATAACTAACTTCTGTTTGGTCAGCTCTACCCGTCACGAACTACACCTGCAGCTGGTGTGACAGCTATAAGATGACGCATATCTGACCGAATTTAAGGGCTTTGTTGGTTTGATTGTAGCAGAACACATCACGCAGTACTCCGTAAAAAACAGTGTTTAATTTTATGAAGGACGATCCACACCATCGAGATCGATGTCACCAAGGCAACACCCGAGTGTCCCCTCTTGTGGAAAGATGGTTGTGCTGTTCTAGTTTATCCCAGATTCCCCACGGATTTATAAGGAGATGGCAGTTCACAAGAACATTGACCGAGGGTATGCGTGGGTGGTGTTGGTCACCAGCTGGCTACAAGTGGTCATCTCTGGCATCTTCTACTACACAACGGGTGTGGTCAACACCGCCCTCCTGGAGAATATGCAGGAGGGCGTGGTCAAGACATCGTGGGTGGGGTCTACCTTGTATGGGACGATGATGCTCACAGGTGAGTACTAAAGTATGGAAGAGAGGTATTTGTAAATAATAAGCTATCATGTTAATTTGAATATGCCATTGATTGAAGTGACATTTTCGTGAGGGGGCACGAGACGTCCAGTCGGCTAAGGCGCCGCAATTAGCTGAGCAGAGTTGAGTCCCGTGGGCACGCCATCAACCTAAGATTGTGGGTTCGAATCCCACTTGGCCACGACTATGTTTCTATTTTTGTCAGCACCAAAAGGTAAACGACTGAGACCTGCATCACTTTGGGCTTTCCTCACACATCAAACTGATAGGCCGTGTCATATGACTAGAATACTGTTCAAAGCGGTGTTCAACCCAACTCACTCCCTTATTGTCGAGAGGAAAAGCGTGCAGGGTTTGGGTGTTTGTCGATGAAATCGACTCTGGTACCAGAACATACGTCATAACATACGCAGTCCCTCTTAGGCATTGTTGCCTCATTCGTGATCAACTCGTACCATAAGGAGGAATAGAGAGTCCTGCCCCTCTAGAATGTTTCCTCACTGGTGTATGAACACAAAAAGTACTTCTTTAAAGAAAGATAACCCTTATTCTACCCGCGTCTTATAGTAAAATGTGGGCATGCTGTGGTTGTGATGATGGTAGTGGTAGCAGTGGTACAAAGAGGTGACTATGCTTGTCGTAAGATGCGACTAACGGGATCGGGTGGTCAGACTCGCTGACTTGGTTAATGCATGCCATCGATCCCAATTGCGTGGATCGATGCTCACGAAGTTTATCACTTGATTGTCTGGTCCAGACTCGATTATTTACACACCGCCATCATATAGCTGGAATATTGCTGAGTGCGGCGTTAAACAAACAAACAAACAGAACAGAGACAGCGGGTTAAAGTCATAGTAAGGGCCATCTCTCAATTCCACAGGTCTTAGTAGCGGTACAAAATCTTCTCCCGCGAACGAACTATCGCACAGGTTGCACCTGATGTCTATATTATTATCATTAACATCTTTTATCTCGACTTTGCCAAACTGCACCAGACGTAGCCACCACATTCAATCTTACTTCAACCGCTCGCTGACTTAGTTGATGAATGTCATCGTATCCAGATTGCATGGATCGATGCTCATGATGTCAATCACTGGATTGTCTGGCCCAGATTTGATTATGTACGAGCCGACGTCATATAGGTGGAATATTGCTGAGTGCGGCGTTAAACAACAAAGTTTTTAAACAAACAAACAAAACATGTAACATATGGCAAGCAAACATGACGTCAATCTTACATTTCCAAATTTTCATTCATCACACTAATACAGTAATAAGCCGTGTCAGTACGTATCAGAGAAACTTCGATTTTGTTGCTTTTGTCCACATTCTGCTCAACAGGCGGGCTCAATTATAACGAAAACATATGGCGTCATACATTGAAACATGTGTCGTGACGTCATGTCACTCCAGAGTGATGTGTTCACGTAGGGACTACAAATATTATCATTATTTTTATTATTTTTTAACAGAATACTACTATTCTTTCAGCACCGGTGACTAGCTCTTTAACGAATGTGTTTGGGTGCCGCATTTCGGCAGTGGTTGGAGGTCTTCTGACTCTGGTGGGCATGGTGGCTGCTTTCTTCGCCAAGTCGGTAGATTGGGTGATTGTGTCCTATGGACTTACTGCCGGTAAAGGGTCACTTTTATGGAAAATGATATAATTGTATTCCATAACAAATCACATTGAACTTATATTATTGTGGAGTTTTCAGAATCATTCATGATAATCCCATGAATAAACATTTTGTCATGACTTCCCATCATGAACAGTGGCATGCAATTGGAATGTTTAAAACAGGTATTGTACAAAACGTTGTTGCTTGGTGTTTGTCGTTCATGACATCAATATTGTTCTGCTGCAGATTCGTTCTTTTGCTTTTGCTTTTGCCTATGATAGTCAGTGATGCACAGGAACTTGTTTCCACAAGTATATATATACCATCATTTAGCGGCATTAGATTTTGGATATGTAAGTACTGACAACATATTGTAGACGATCAACTACTTAATTACATGTGTATATTGTCATTAGTTCATTCATATGATTATATATATACACGAGGAAAGCAATAACGTTAGTAACAGACAATACTGTACCCATGTTATTTTCCACATTTGCAATGACGAAACTGCTGCAGTACGTTTATGTTGCGGTTGAATATAACAAAAATAAAAATAAATTTAATTGAATCTTCCACAAACTTACAGGAAAGAAAACACTTTCATTTAGTCGCCATGACATGGCAGCATGACATCTATTGTTCGTTAGCTTGTAATCTGTTTACGCCACAAATGACACCATCATTACCATTATCGACCAAAGTATAATTCATAGTTGAGCGAATGAAGATGGATGCCGCGTTTAGCGACATCAAGGAAGGAGACACCAGAAATAAGTTTTGGCATCAGATATCACACACGTGAATGATGTGCGTGCATGACTTCATTTTCCTGAATCATGTACTCATCCATAATTGTCAACCTTTAACTGACGTCAACTAAAGGATCGATCTCTACGCCACATGGCTAGTCGTAAAATTAATACAGGATACAATTATAAATCTTCAATTTCTATCTTGCAACCTTATGTTGGAAGCTGAGAGAGTAATTTGAATGATTATTGACCATTGACCGGGCTAATTATATCAAGCTTTGACAATCCTTTCGATATATTTTTTTTTTTTTACTATTTTAATTTTATTTTTATTCCAGGTCCAGGGATAATTCATTTTGCTTTATATTTATATTTATATTTTTATTCCAGGTCTAGGAATCGGGTTCCTTGATACATCAGCGAATGTTATCAATGGTCACTATTTCCAGAAATACCTCCCTCTTGCCTCGGGGCTACAGGTGTCAGGAGGAGGGTCAGGGATGCTCATAGGTGCTCCGTTAGTGAGATTGCTGCTTGATACGTTCGGTCTCAGTGGGACCTTTCTCTTACTGGGCGCCATAGGAGCTAACACATGTGTGTGTGGTATGATGTTCAGACCATCACCGCATGAGCAACAAGCAGGAACAAAGACAAGAGAGACACCGGGAGACTTGACCAATAATCTTGTGGATCAAGAAGTAGAAGAACAACCAGAAGTCAGAACCAGTTGTCTGCAACGTTTACGTTCGACAGTCAGTGAAATGAGGACAGTTTTGTCTAATGTTAGCTTTATGCTATATGTCCTTTCCTACACATTATGGGGATTTGGAGAATCTATTATATATGTACATCTACCTAATTTTGCGGAATCCAAAGGAACAAGCCAACAAAATTCCGCCATGTTGTACACAGCTATGGGAATTACTAGTATCATAGCTCGTGTGTTGGCAGGGTTTGCTGGTAACGATCCAGCAATAGGAGTCTTCATGCTACATACAGGTATGCTGGGTGTAGCGGGAGTCCTGATTATGATGTGTCCCCTTCTGGCCAGTTCGTTCACACTGCAGCTCCTGTTCTGTAGTATCTATGGCATCTACAGTGGTGGGCCTGTGGCCTTTTTAAACCCAATTATTGTTGATCTGGTAGGCGTGAAACAACTGGCGACTGGATACGGAATGGTTAATTTCATTGGTGGCTTTGGATTACTTCTCGGACCTCCGTTTGCAGGTAAGTAACACATAAACATGCATCAACGTTGTACGATGATAGAATTTTCTCATTACACTGTCTCATTACATGTCTACGTATTGTCACTTCCCAACAAGCATATTACGATATGGCGTAGCTGTCAAATGAAAAATGCACTGTGACAAACGAGTGAATGAGTGAGGAAGGGGGCGGTTCAACTCGGCTCAGAACACTGTTTCGGTTATAACAAGCTTATTTATAAGCAGCAGTTACCGGTCTTCAAAAAACGGTCGTCATAACAGACATTATAGGCAGCGTGAATTGGCATAACATCTGTTACATGCACTACCCCTACTCGATGTGTTGTATAGTAAGCATGGTGGCCCCGGGTTGAGTAAAGGAGGGATTCTGACAAGCCTAAGAGACTCAGCTGCGGGGAAAACCAGAGAAGAACAAGCTAATTTCTTTTAACAACTTCTAGCTCTCAGGACACCCAGCACGTCCAGCGAACATGTTACTTTTTTTCGGGTAAAGCCTAATTAACGGCATTATTAAACCCCGCCACGAGGTGGAAGGGGAATATAGGAATGGGGGGCGTCCGTCCGTCTTTCCGCCCTTCTGTCCTTCCGTCCGTCACATTTCGTTTCCGGAGCAGAACACAAAAACCATGAGAGATATCGTAACCAAACTTGGCATATAGATAGGTCTAGTGGTCAACTGGTGCCTTTTGATAGTTTGGGATTTAAAAAAAAAATAATTCAAGTTTCCATGGCAACGACTTTGACTTAGACTGAAAATAGCGGTAGTCCTCGTATCCGGGGCAGATCTTGAAAACCGTACAATATTCCTTCACCAAACTTGGCATATAGATAGTTCTAGTGGTGAACTGGTGCCTTTTGAAAGTTTTGGATTTAAAAAGAAATGTTGAGTTTCCCTGGCAACGACTTGAACTTAGACTGAAAATGGTGGTAGTCTTTGTTTCCAGAGCAGATTTTGAAAACCGTACATTATTTCTTCACCAAAATTGGCACATAAATAGGTCTAAAGGAAAGCGGATGCCTTTTGATACTTTGGGACTTTTTAGAGAATTATTTTTCGAATTTCCATGGCCACGACTTACACTGAAAATCACCAAATTTGCCACAGATCTTGAAAACCGTACAATATTTCTTCCAAACTTGGCATATAAATAGGTCTAGTGGTAAACTAGTGCCTTTTGATAGTTTGGGAGTTTTTACGAATGTTTCCTTAGCAAAAGTTAACTCGGACACCGTTTACCTATTCTACAAAAATATTTACGCAGGGTTGTCTGAGAACGGTTAACATAATTACCTAATTGAGATGTTTACCACTTGACAAAGGAACTTGGTCAAGGTATATGGTGAATTATTGTGAAAACACAATTTACAAGTGGCACCTGAACCAGCCTACTTCATCGTAGTGCATGGTGGTAACATGAACAGTGGCACCCGAACCAGCCTACTTCCTCACAGTGGGTACCGGTAACATGACCATGGGCACCCGAACCAGCCTACTTCCTCGCACTGGGTAGTGGTAACATGAACAGGGGCACTTGAACCAGCCTACTTCCTCGTAGTGGGTAGTGGTAACATGAACAGGGGCACCCTAAACCAGCCTACTTCCTCGCAGTGCATGATGGTAACATGAACAGTGGCACTTGAACCAGCCTACTTCCTCGCAGTGGGTAGTGGTAACATGAACAGGGGCACCCGAACCAGCCTACTTCCTCGCAGTGCATGCCGGTAACATGAACAGGTGCACCCGAACCAGCCTACTTCACGGTGTTAGTTTGTTGGTGTGCTTCATGTTTTGTGTTTCATAGAAACACACATGAATGATTACAGTGAAAGAGACCTGCCAGGATATCAAGTCTATCCAGGAGACACTAGACACATGGTATTGCTGTGTATGTTTCAACAAGTTTCAAGAACAGTGTCCAGCTATGTGATGTAATGTCATCTCTCAGTTTTGAATACCTTCCTTTCTTGTTGGCAAGTTCTGCATTGCTTGTGTGTATGTTCCTCCAAAAGTGTCATGGACACGGTTGTCACATTCACTTACTCATTTCAAGCAGCATGAATTTGAACGTGTCCTAGTTACTGGGGATTTCAACTGTGATCTGAGTGAAAAGCTGAAACTTGAAGATTTCTTTAATGTGCGGTAAATGACTCAACTCATTCACTCTCAACTCACTGTCTTGGAGCTACACTGGACTTGTTTACTGATCATGCCAGTGCTGTAGCATTCAAGACTCCAGTCTACTGCTCAGTTCTTCAGATAATTGGTGCTGTATCTCTCAGTACACCTCATGGTGACCCCTGCTCTCATTAATCTCAAAGTAAAGTAAGAACTCCCTTACTTCTCTGATTACTGTTTAAGTAATAACACAGCGCATTACTAGTACAGTTACATATTCTATCATAAACTGCAGATGGCAAAACAACACCAGTAATTTCTTTTTTAGTGCTGCAATTACGCCATTTACATAAAGGTCCAGTGAACATAGTTCACAGGATATAATGCATTGCACACAACCGGACATTTAATATTGGCGGGGAATATGAGTATTTCTAGCTTGTTTCATTTTACCAGTCTTTTGTCCCACTCCCTTCAAATGGTTGTTCCCTTCGAATCCCATTGGTCTTGTCAACATCTTATACGTTCCTATAATCTAGACGGATTCGTATCATATTGTTTATTGTTGTTCAGGCTTCATCATGGACGTCTCGGGAAGCTACGACGTTAGCTTTGCTTGTTCTGGTAAGAACCATAAGTCTTGATGTTTCATATTTGGCTATCAAAGACAACGATACACTATAATTTATTGTAGTAATATATGTGAACGTTATTTGAATGAGATGGTGATGTTATCATTATCGCTTCACACTGAATGTTACATGAAATATAATAAGCTTGTGTACTCTAATGTAGTTGCAAACTTGGAGTTTCTTGAAATAAAAGTGAGTTTCCACATCCACCATGGATCATTCACGTGACCAACTTGTGATAGGAATCTCTTAAAGAAGTAAAGTGATGATAATATTAATGAATTCTACATATACATACCACACACCATGCAATGTGAATGGGAATATATTTCCAAACAGGAGCTTATATGTAAATGTTAGTAGGTAACCCAGATATATAACTGTTTCAGGAAGCGCACTTGTGATAGGAAGTCTACTGTCTCTGGGCATACCGATCTTTAAGCGACCAAGTGCATCAAATGTCTCCCGTGACAGGGAAATGGACATGGCAGTTTCTGAAGAATACAGAGCTGTGGCATGTGGAACAGAGGACCAATAAATGTCATACACTCACTGCCAAAGAGTTCTGTTTTTCGTTATATTAGACCATCTGTCATTTTACAACATATGCCTTTCTGCAATTGTATATTATCCATTTTTAACTTGGTGGACTCTCTTACAGAGACAGGCTGATGGCTCTACAAACATGACATACAGCTAAGCTCAAAGTTCAAACAGCTTAGTTCTAACAAAACAAACAGTTCAATTCTGACAATACATTCAGTTCAGATCAAACATTACATACAGTTCAGATCTAATAGTACATACAGTTCAGTTCTGACAGTACATACAGTTCAGTTCTGACAGTACATACAGCTCAGTTCAAACAGCTTAGTTCTAGCAATACGTGCAGTTCAGTTCTAATTCAGCTCTAACAGTACATACAGCTCAGCTCAAACAGTACATGCAGCTCAGTTCTAATATGTCATACAATTCAGTTCTAACATTACATACAACTCAGCTCAAATAATACAACAGCTCAGTTCTAGCAATACACACAGCTCAGCTCAAATAGTACAAACAGCTCAGCTAAAATAATACAACAGCTTAGTTCTAGCAATACAGACGGTTCAGTCCTAACAATACATACAGCTCAGCTCAAATAGTACAAACAGCTCAGCTCAAATAATACAACAGCTTAGTTCTAGCAATACACACAGTTCAGTTCTAACATTACATACAGCTCAGCTCAAATAGTTCAAACTGCTCAGTTCTAGCAATACATACATATAGTACTGCGAACTGTTTTGTCATGAAGCAGAAATTAATATGTATTTATATGTAGTTCTAGACTTTATAGCTCCTGACTGGCACACTGGTGTCTCAGAAAATAAACTACTTTTTTATGTTCCAGTTTACGCCCTTTTGAGGATTAAACACAGAAGAACTCTTTTTTCACATTTAGACATGTTTTACACTTATAATTACAAACAATTACTTTGTTTGCACATCGTGTGCGTGGCGGGTGCTTCCGATAGCGCAGAACATGCTTACCCTTTTCCCGAATACCTGGAGTCATCACTGATCAGATTTTCAGTGATTCATTCATATAATGTTCATAACTCTTTTGCTTTTACATCCGACGAAGTCTGTTTCGGCAGATAATCGACACTGATTATTTCCTAACGTTTACTTTTGAATGTAATGCGTTTGTAGTTCATTCTGGTAGAACATGCGTTTTAAGTTAGGACTGTTTGAACTGTGTTAGATAACTTAGAACTGTGTCGTCTTTATAATGCTTTAATGACCGAACCTCAAGTAACCTTGAGGGATGTTGCAGTGTTTCCCCTGATGTATTGAGAATGTGTGCAAGCTGTTCACTAACGTACACAAGTTTTTGTACCACTGACCAAAGGGATATATTTGGACTATTGTTTTCTAAATATTGATATATATATATTTCTGAAAGGCTATATTTGAAAGGCGAGGAGAAATGCAAAATACAGTGTCATTTCTTAAAATGCAAACAACTGAAGCGCTCGTAAACGAACCATCTGTCCTGCATGCACGATTACCATACATAACAGGATGTTTCTGCATGTCAACAAGCCTACACTTCTTGATGCTAAGTTAACAAGATATACGGCTTGTCCACTGGACGAAAGGCAAGTCACATGACCGAGAAACTGGCGTTCTTTGCCATATGAACAACTAATTTTGACGGTCGTACGTTTTTTCACGAGACAGTTTTCTTGAAATGAGTAAATACTGGACTACTTCCCCATTCCTGGTGAAAACCTTGGAAATTCCCGAGCAGAAATAAATACAGAAGCTTTGTTTCTTGTCATATATCCAATATAATCTTGAATTCAGTGATTGTGCATACATTGAAAACACTTACAGTGTGAGACTGCATGCCCCTGGTCGAATATCCTTGCAACAAAACCTCAACACAAGAGGCTACTAATTCTCGATCACCTGCTTAAATAGATTACATTGAGCATTAGAGGAAAATAACAGTGAGAATTATATGAATGGGCAACTGTAAATCAGGGATGAGTCAAGGTATTTGCAAACAGGGTAGGCATGTCCAGATTTACCGGTAACACCCACCATTCACTTAATGTCAATGAAAATGTTAATGTTTGTTGTCTGACGCCGCACAGCAATACTACTCTCATACGACGGCTGCCTATGAAAAATCGAGTTTTAACCAGACGAGGAAATGCAGACCCAAACTATGGACACGATCCGTGAATGAGCTACCCACATCTTATGAAGGTCGGAGCATGCAGTTTGGCCCACGGTATACTACAATGAACTGAGCGAAAGTCAATTTAAAAACAAACAAACAAAAACATGTCTAATGCCTTCTTTCACTTCGCAACTCAAGTAATACCTAATGCGCATTGGTTTCTAACGAGGCACTACACAGTGAACTGAGTGTACTTTATATCAGATGAGGTGGGGAGGCCTCGTGGAAAAGGCGTTCGCTTGTCACGCCAAAGACCCGCGTTCGATTCCCAACTTGGGTACGATAAGTGAAGCCCATTTCTGGTGTCACTCACTCACTCACTCACTCACTCACTCACTCACTCACTCACTCACTCACTCACTTTATAGTACACGTAAAGTCTCGTTTCTTCATTTACGAGATGTAACTTATAACACAGGAAAGCACAATACTATCGTTTTCGGGTAAACTTATCCAAACGGTTGAAGTTAGATGGAGTGTGGTGGCTACGTCTGGTGCAGTTTGGCAAAGTCGAGGTAAAAGATGTTAATGATAATAATATAGACATCAGATGCAACCTGTGCGATAGTTCGTTCGCGGGAGAAGATTTTGTACCGCTACTAAGACGTGTGGAATTGAGAGATGGCCCTTACTATGACTTTAACCCGCTGTCTCTGTACTGTTTGTTGTTTAATGCCGCACTCAGCATTATTCCAGCTATATGATGGCGGTGTGTAAATAATCGAGTCTGGATCAGACAATCAAGTGATAAACTTCGTGAGCATCGATCCACGCAATTGGGATCAATGGCATGCATTAACCAAGTCAGCGAGTCTGACCATCCGATCCCGTTAGTCGCCTCTTACGACAAGCATAGTCGCCTTTTACGGCAAGCATGGGTGTCTGACGACCTACTCTACCCTGGATTTTCACGGGCCCGTTACCGCATGTGCAAATGAGATGTCAAATGTTTGAACCTGTGTAACCATGGTAACTGGGTTGGCGTAAAGCATGGGTTGCTGCAAAGTTTAGGCCCTTCATATTTAATCTGGAACCCCTGTCTGTCGACAATCGGGGAACATGAGCCAAGACTTATTGAGATGGATCAAGGGTATAACGTGCTCATCAAGCGTTGACAGAGATCTCGTTCCCCAGAGACACACTAGGAGTATATACGAGGGACACCCTACGAAGTATCAAACAGACAATACCTAATCGTAGAGGATGCGAATATGTGGTGAACACTGATTCCTCAAATCCAGGAAGACAACGCTGAGTGGTATTTACTGTAAAAAAATGTGTTTGTGATTTTTTCGTTTGTTTTGCAATTGGACATGTACCCGATTATTTCAAGACTTTGTTCGCTTTTTGAGTGAGTGAGTTAATATGTAACGTCACATCTGCAGTATTTCAGCCATATCGTGACGAGAAGTACATTAATTAGACTAAATAAAGACCTGTCAACGATAGACAGTAAATATATTTATCACAGATTATATTTAAATCTAGTAGATAGCCATACAAATATAACATCATACGTAACAATACAAGATACAAATGAGCTATAGATCGCCGGCCACTGAAGAGAGATCACCATGCCAGGGTCCATGGGGACTTACAGTACTTTTGCTACCTGCATGGACCCCAGCCGGATTTACATCATTCCTACAGCTGTTGGCGATTATTGACAAATTTAGCAAACATTAAAACCACACATATGCTACGATTAAAAAAGTGGCACAAATAAATATACTTTGAAAGACGTGGTCTTACATACTCTCTCAGGGGGACAATAACTTTACACTACTTTAACCCCCTTCAAGGATACAGCCACTAACAATCTCAATTATTAACTTCATTCAACCAAATTTTAAAAAAACCAAAACACTGATTATATACAGAATATATCATTCAAAATTTATGTAATAATTCAATTTCCTTTATAAAACCGATGATTAAATACGAACTTAGATTAAAACGATTCTTGAAGAATGAAACTTTGAAATAGATATCCCTTGTGATGGAAAAATCAATACAGTCAAGCAAGACATGCTTGACTGTGATTCTTTCATCACAAGGGATGCAAAACGGAGGATCTTCACCTTTCAACAAATACTCGTGTGTACATCTGCTATGGCCAATACGACATCGTCGCATAATGACCTCTTGATATCTGGACTGACAACCCAAGTAGGTGTATTCGCTTTTTGAAAACACGTAGTAGAACATTTAAGTATAACTCCTAAGTGATGCGACGGTCTACATCAAATGTCTTTTATATTATTGCTGCAGACAATTGGGGCAAGGATATAATTGTACATATTGTGACTACCTTTTTATACGTCATAAACCTCAAAATGACAAGTACGTATCAACCATATTTGTCGTTATTTCAGATATGACATGACTTCAAAAGTCCATTGTGTTCAATAAACTGTTAGCATTGAGTCCTATATTTTTGTTATGTATTGATAGAGAAATGGAAAAAAAATCTGCTTACACTATTCATGTTTCATTCCGAAGTGTGACGTTGCAAGCGATAGACGATGGCACGATATGTGTTAAGACATCATGATTTCACAAATTAGTATTCAATGATATTTTGGAATGTATTTTATGCATGACTAGTTAGAGAGCAGATGTTAGGAAAGGTAGCCATTGTCCGCCGGTTGCTGGAGAACCGGTTACCCATGACTAGAAATGAGAAGCGGAGGTTTCTTCAAAGAAACCCCAACAATCCGTTTTTATCTGTCCTGAGTCAGTTGCAGTACTACTGATCCCAGTCGTAAACGATTACGAATTCGACATACGCCCCTCGTACATTTCATGATCACCACATCAG